GATGTCCCGTTCACGCATTAGGATCTGGTAGAATCCATCCATCAGATCCATGTACGAAAAGGTGGTACTCGTTGATATATCATCAATCATTTACGTCCTTACTCGGTATCGGCTTCTGAGCCGATATCATTGCAGCTTTCAACTTGTTGAATGCGTGCACTATCCGCCACCCTCATGTGGCCGTTCGCACACAGAAGGCCGAAGAGCTGTGAAGGGAGGTTGAGTCTCTCACATAACCCGCAGATAAGCAATCGGCAGAGAATATGTCGATCGGAAGTACTTGTTCACGAGGCAGTGGCCACTGCTTCATGACACAGTACTTTGAGCCCTGTTCGGGCTCGAATTTATGTCGAGTGCCTTTATCCAAGACAATTCGCATGGTTCGTATTAAGGGAACGCTTTCTTGCATTTAATCAAATCCTTATGTAAAGGATGTTCCTGAAGCGAATCCCAAGATTAAGACGTGTACCGCTCAATCCGAGTCCTCTCATCGAGGATACCTTCGTCCATCGATGAGCTGCTGAGGTCCCGTTAGCTCTCAGCAAATACTACTGCAGACCGAATGTCGGTCACGTATTCGTCCTTCGTGACGAGGACACAGATCCGCTCGATATTAACACTAATCAGATCTCGCAAGAACCGTTTCGGTTCTAGCGTTGGCAAATGCGTGTTCTCCGAAGTCAACTTTGGAGGATTGATCAGATCAAGTGCATCAGCGCCTAAACTTTATCCGTCATTAACCAAGACATGCAATGTCTCGGTTTATTCCTGGAAGATATTTTGCACGGTCTGGGGACTTACCCCTCAGGCTGATCAGGTCTCGTACTTCACCAAATACTGTTTGAGTAGTTTTTTACTTAAGTACGTGGGGACTTATTCCCTCGACGTCTTCTAGCTGTGATTGCGCTACCACTGCTAGATCCTCTACGATCAACTCCCCATCCGATATAGGATCATCGTGTTGCCATGTGCGGGAACTGGTTTATTCTTACTTGGATGTCGCCCTCAGGCGTACGCTCATGTCCCGATCCACACGACTCGTTTGAGTGGCGGACCTTCGGCGCTTCCTGTGCATCCGCACAGCCGCTGGCAACTTCCTCCATAGTGTGATGCGATGTCACACTGTGAATTTGTGCAGTAATTTTCACGGTTTGGTGGTTCCAGCTGACCTTGGCTCGTGCATTTTATGCCAGGGTTCCCTTAGGATGACAGCAATTTGCCACCCAAATTAACTACGATGAATTTATTATTGAGCCACAAATCTTCTAGCGTGTAATGAAATTTCACTATATATGTCATCTCTGCTATCGATGCGCCTGTTGCGAGGCGCACATTCATCCACGTTGGAGAAATACCTCGCTTAACGAACTTGAGTCTACGATTTATTAGCAACTGGCGACGCACAAAGTTGCTCGGCGCCCCACAGTCAGCTCAGGCACGAAGTGACAATTCTTGTGCCACTTTAAACTCAAGATTATGAGGGTTGCCTCATCATCAAGCACGGATACACACAATAATTATAAGTCCAGAGCAACTTTCAATAGAATTTTGAGGTTGCTGGATCAGTAGGGCGCTCCACCCCTACTGACCCTGACCGTTTTCTGACGTTCCACCACGATGTTGTGACTTCGCAACAGCGTCGGACTCGCGTCCGGTGCCCTTCCTTGGCAGAAGGCCGATCTCTTTGCTCAGTGATTCGAGACGCTGGGCGTGAAGACTACACTCGTAGGCGTAGTGCCCTAACTTCTGACAGCGTATGCACTTTTGTAATCTCTTACATTTGAAGAGCGAGTTCTCTCGCTCTCAACACTGCAGAGGTCCATTGGGTTTGGACTTCACGCCTCCAATCGTCTCGAAAGATAGTAGCGATTCAATCAAGTATGAGCCCGTATCACAATAAAGTCCTCCTACACCGCAGTTGTTATCGCTTTCTCGAGCGACTTCAACTCGACGCGTAACAGGTAGTTCCTCACGGGACCACCTGTAAAGCCCTGTTAGAATATTGTGATCAACACGATTTCACTTACAAGGTTCGCAACCATTCAACTTGCAAGGTAACGAACGTGCTGAGCGTAAGCGTGAACGTCACGATCACTTTATTTTATCTTCAAGAGATCTGAAAGAGTCCTGAACTCGGCTCTTGGCGGCTCAAAAGTTTAGCTGAGCAAAGTCTTAAAGACTGCCAACGATACAAACGCGTTCGTATCGTGTAATTGGAGTATCAGAACCCAAGTTCTTGCACCCTGACAAACTCGATTCGACAAGTGCAAATTGCATATCCTCATTTTCGATACGGCGAGCCTTGATGACATCGCCTTCCCTTTGAGGAACCATCTTAACAAAAAGTATTCCTCAACTCCCCGGTACTTGGAGACTTCTATCTTCGGAGTCTCGCGTCGACGCTCACGTGTCGACGCTGCAGAACCATACTGAGACTGTTGCTGTCTCAGGAGCTCAGTCTTCTGGTGACCTTGCTTATGCAGCAGGTCCACTCAGCTCGCGACAAGATAATGTTCTCGTCGCAAGAACTTGGCGATTACAGAATGCTGATGGTCCCTATTTCTTGATATTAGCAGAGACCAGACAGCTTCTTCGCCAACGGTAGATCTCATTCGTTCTACCGCGCTCCATTCGACATCACTCAAACAGGAGTAACTTTTACGGATACCGTAAAAGATGTTGTCGCCCTCCTCGTCCAACATGTTCATGTTGAAAGGTTTTGTGGTCCTTGGACGGACTACGAATTGCTACCAGGTGTAACATGGCACCGGGGCGACACACTGGACAAAGATTGCGGTGCTACTATGTTAGATAGCATTGTGAGCGCTGCCTCGCTACCTCTTTAAACTACGCAAAAAAGGGAAAGCAACTAGGAACCGACTACTTACTGGTAAAGAAAACCGTAGTAAATATGAGAATATCCTAATTATTAGCCACTGTTTCAGTCCTAACTTAACTACATTTATCTACAAAAGTGAGTGCAAGAATCTTGCTCATCACTCATTGCGCGCGTCCATCGTTGATAGGACCGCTAGAGCTGGCTGATCTGGATTATTTTATCAGCCGTTCAGTGAGTGTTTCTGAAAATTACCCCTTATGGTGATATTTACGAACATAATCAACCTTTATGATAATACTCCAATTAAAAGTATCAAGGGTCAATAATGTAGCAGGCTCACCGTTACATTGAGAGCCTGTTAGCGAATTGTTGAGCGAGAATCCGATGAGATCAGCAAGGACTGATGCTTGACCGTCACGTCCACGAGAGTTATGCCCATAAAAAGGGTGAGATGGGGTTGTGTTGTGATCATGGTCTACACAAATACATTCCCGAATGGTATCGCTTCCTCAATGATGGTTAAACCGGCAGAGAAGGTGAAATATAACTGTCTTACCACATTACGTCTGCACCTTGACGCGGCAATAGAGTTCGGGCTAACATAGATGCTACCTGCCTTCAACTAGCCCACAAGCTCTCAGCGATGGGATGATTGCATGGAAATGAGCAATTGTGATACGACTCAAACACCTTGTATTGCTGCCGTTTGAATGGCACTTCTTTGCAGGATCTTTGCCGCTTGGTAGGGGAAGATAGCGCACTTGAGGTTGAAGCTGGAAATGATCCTGAGGCGTCGTTTTCCACAATCCGACAGCCGACCACCAGTACGGCTGTCGGATTCTGGACTGGTCAATTCTGCAGCGCTCGTAAAGAGAGACGCTGGATACAATGCTTGAGCCAATGTCAGCTACAGTAGCTTTGAGTGCCTTTGATGCAAAGCAATGGATAAAAGCTCGTGAGACTGGGGACCAAGAATTGATGCAAATTATGTATGGGAGCTAGTGGATCGGTCTCATGGAGTAAAGTTGTTACAGAACTAGTGGGACTTTGTGCGGATACGAAATGTAAAAGGGGAAGTTTGCCGATATCGCACGCACAATGGCTCTGGTCGGGTCTGCAAGCTGTTTCAACGCCTAAACAGCTTAAGACGAGCACCCCGCGTTTGGTACAAAGTGCTAGACAAGTATCAGATAATTTGCGGAGTACCCTAAGTAGTACAATCTAGAAGATATTTTACGAGACAACATAAGAATACGAATTGAACCGTCAGTTTTAACAAAAAGTAAAGATGCACCACGTCAAAACGAACCGACAGTCTGGACTATAATTCATCTGATTCGACGAAACTCTCCTTCTCTATTCCAACCAATCACAATGATCTGCAGCCATCCTTTCGGGTTTTGTGGTGGACATTGACTTCAAAGACGGACCAGCACCATGGCCAAGGTACAGCCTGTCTTCTTGCTGCATACATGCCAGTAGGAGCCATTGTCAGCTAAAGCTGTGTACAGGACAATATCATCAAGACCTCGTACATCCGACGGCGCTGTTTTCATTGAAATACATGCGCTACTCGTCAAGTTATAGCGCTTCAAACAAAGAGTAGACTGCTGATCCGCTGGGACTAACCCGATGATCTCTTGCTGGATTATCCTGTAGGGAAAAGCCAAGAACGTGGTGATCAAGATGCTGAGCGCAGCCGGCACGGGGTACACTCCTACTCTATGTAGTACACAAAGTCGTAGATAGAGCGTGCCTGCTGACGATGGTCTCGACGTGCTTTTGTTCGGCTCCTCTCTTCTCTTTGTGTCTGCTTCCACAGCTTCTTCTACACTACGACGAAGAACCCGCGTAACGTTACGAGGAAGCTCTCCCTTCGGAAGGTAGGTCAATGGATCCATTCATGTCGATGCTGGATGTCTGGACGGACTCGAGCTTGTGAAGAACTCATTTGGTCGGTGCTTGTTTGAATTCGTAGTACGACCCGATCGTCCGACAGCACGTGATTTTCAACGAGGCCAAGATCAAGAAGGGATGAGAGAGCACGTCGGGTGTTGTCCGGTTCCGATGCTTTTGTTCGTAAATCGACCCACCGTTTGCTTGGGCGGTACACGTAATGGCAATACGCTTGCATACTTGTCCCGTTGACTCCCGTGTTTGTCTACAAAAGGCGTCGCCCTTTTTTGATCATAAATGTATGGCTTGCGTCGGACGTGACGACGACATCGGCGGTGCCACTTTCGATAGCTGATGACTCTACACGGTCAGGAACGTCAACGACAATGAGATCGGACGGAGCTGCGGGCTCGGGATCTTCGCTGAAGAACTCATGCTGGAGTGCCTTGGACGCTGAGATACGTTTCTTTGGATCGAGCTGCAGCAATTGAGACAGTAGATCGACGCCAGCAGCTGACAGCATTGAAAATTGCTCGGCTAGCGGTGTCGGGTTCGTGTCCTTAAACCGGAGGTAAAACGGCAGCTGACTTGCTTCGCTCCATCCGTTCTCAGTTGGAGATCCCAACGCAGCGAAAATCTTGCTCAGCTGGTCAATGTCCGAGGACCCATCCGCCAACGGACGACGCAGCAACATCTCGGCAAAGATGCAGCCTACCGACCACATGTCGACTTCCCAGCCATATCGCTCTTCACCAAAAAAGATCTCGGGTGGCCGATACGCCCGCGTAACAACTTGCACCGACCGCTTGGGGTTCACCTTCTCCTCTATGTTAGCCCTGGCGTCCGTACTTCCTTGATCTTCATCTGCACCTGCTGGATCAATCAAGGTCGCCATGCCAAAGTCCGTGATCTTGGCACATCGCAGCGTCTTGGACAGCAACAGATTGTTGGGCTTTAAATCTCGATGGAGAATCCCTCTCGCGTGCAGCTCGTGCACCCCAAGCAGCAGCATCTTCAAGTTCGCCTTCACTTGCGCGATCTCCAACGTCGGCACACTCTCCGTCGCACTAATCAGCGTCTCAAGGTCGCTGTCCAGATATTCCATAACCAGGTACAGCTTCCCCCGACGCTCCACAGCTTCCAAGAGCTACAATGGTCCAGAACGATAACCAGAACCAGAACCATAACCGTAACCAGAACCATAACAGCACCTCTAATTAGAATAAACACCACAATAAACCCTAACCCGCTCGTCGGATTCGTACGGACGGACCTGTACCACGTGCGCCGCGCCCCGACACTTGGCGAGCATTTCGGCCTCGTGTCGTGCTTCTTTTAGTGGCCCCAGCACCTTCTTGATCGCTACAGGCGCGCGCGAGTCGGCATGGTAGCCGAGGTACACGGTACCATACGTGCCCCGTCCAATCTCCGAGTGCTTCTCGTACGCGCCCAGTCGCTTGCGTGCGTCGCCGTCCACCACCCGGCGCTTCATTGACTGACGGAGGTCGAAGACGTACGTGCGTACGTACGTGTGCCAACGGATGCGCATAATTTCGTCCAATCAGATGCCGCGCTCATGTATTCTGAAGTAGCACAAACAGCAGCCTAGTCGCAGCGAAACCCCGTCGTCCTTTAGAGCACGAAATAGAGTCCCGTATCCGTATCCGCATACGCAGCGACGAACAAAAAGAGCGAAAGAGACAGAGAGGACAGCGGACCAAGTGACGGCCGGGTAAAGTGGCTGTCTATCTGTCTATCTCTCTCTTTCTCTCTCTATTCGCCGTCGATGGCGCCCGTTTCTTTCCGTCTGAGTATGTGACGTCCGTCGCGGTTCAAAACCCGCGGGGAACTCACGAGAAAGAGAGCGGGAGAGACCGTTTCCAGTCGTCGTACACGTTCCGGTCGGTCGGTCGTTCATTCTCCTTCGCTCCTGCCGCCTCACGCACAGAGACGTCCACTCGCGCGTCCACTCGCGCGTCCACTTATAAACTCTTATAGTAAAGTGGACCGACAGCCATGCCGCAGCACACTGCGACCACAACAGGAGCAGGAGCCACTGCAGTCATGACGACGCCAGTCACCTCAAGAACGAGCAAGTGCGTCCGCTGGTCCACTGTGACCGTGTACGAGTTTGGCGTGACTCTGGGCGGGAGCGCCGTCCCCCGTCGTGGTGGACCGTCCATTGGGCTGGCGCGTACGCCGCAGCACGTGTGGAGCACGACACTGGAGACGGTGCGACGGTGTGGGGACTTGGCCCTCACACGGCCGAGCAACGACGTGGTGGACGGCGCTAGTGGACGGGAGCAGGAGAGGGAAGAGCGGCACAAACGTCGCGTCCAGCGGCGCAGGAGACGCGTGCGATGGCTCAAGCCGCTGGAGCGCATTTCCATGTTGACGAAGGCTGGCTGCAGCGAGGAGCGCATTTACCGCATGATGATGGAAAGCTCGGACATTGCCATGTCGAGGAGGCTCTGCGTGTCGGTGCAGCGTCAAGTGGCGGCGTGAAGTGGCGGCGGACGACGGTGGACGAGAGGGAGGGGGAGGGACGTGGTCTCGTGTTTCTACGACGGAGAGCGGACGGATAGTGGACGACTGTGTTTTACCTTCTTTTTGAGATGAGTGAAGAGATGGAGGGGGAGAAGTGTATACACGAGCGAGTAGAAGATGGAGGAGGCTACTATTGAATGGACGGAGGACTATTTACAGGGCACGAATGTGGCAGCATTCGTGGTAGTTATTACAGCAGCACTGCAGGACAGCAAAGTGCCCGACAGTCCTAGCCAGCATCCGCCTACATGCAATAAGCCCGCATCAATCGACGCGCTATTTAGCATATTGTCTTGGCGTCGAGGTCGTACCTGTCTCGAGTCCTCTTTTGCGGTCATGGTGCTCTGCTGCAGTTGCTGCCGTCATTCGCACGCGTGTTACTACATTGATACAGGCCACACAAAGCCATCATGACGGTGGACGACACACGATACACGATCATGAGTATGCGCGGATGTGAATCTCACGGTACACTTCAGCCAGCTACGTCAAACTCGTACACCGTTGACGGTGGACCAGCGGACGCTTTGATCGTACTGGGCTGTGGCTGCGAAGATTCGGAGGAAGCAACCGGAGACCTGGAACACGATGCCCATCGCTTGCAACTCTAGTGGATGTGTGGTCTTCCGATTCCGCACCCACCCACCCATCCACCCATCCACCACTTCCTCCCCTGTCCCTCGCCATCGCTTTTTTCGTCCGCTCGCAACAGATGCCACGTCCATTGTTTACGATTCAGCCAGCGTGGTAGCTCAATATCGTCCGCTTGCCCTAACCCCGTCCACCTGCAAGCGGACGTATCGCGTCATAGTAGAAAACTTGGTGCGCATAACCGCTGCGACGGAACAGCACATAAAGCCAGGGAGACTCGCGCCATTGCTCCGGCTATTTATTACAGTGACTTCACGCTCGGATTCGATCGGAAGTGCATCGCTGCTAATAGTCAGAGCCGTTTTTGTCGCGTCTCGTTCCATGAGACCGCTTGTTGCTAGTTGTCTGCAGTGATAGTGCAGCACTGCTAACAAGCTGGGATCGCACAAACTAGGTCACACAAATCATCTACGTGATTGGACCCCATGCCAGCAAACGGTAAGAAGACAGAGAGACGAGATGCCCACTGTAAACACTTTCGCGTGCACGCGACTTATCATGGTAGTGCTGCAATACAGCAAACCCGAAATCGTCTGTGCGATGTCCTATCGACTCCAGATCATCAGATTTCGTCGTTCCTCGCGACGCGTGGATACAGGCGAATGGAATGACGCATCTCGATTTTGTAGTGTCTGCACCATCATGACCAAGACATACCGCAAGAAATTTCAACACAACTCAATCAGGCGCTGCCGTGTCGATGAATGGTTTCCACACGATATTTAATACACACACGTGAGCAGGTTGATCGTGTTGAGTCCGCACTGCCCCACACGTCAATGAGCAGCTGCACTGGCAATACGCAAATCCTATCCGAACATCCATGAGAACGTCGACTGAATTCAACGACCGTGGGTACTTCCCACGCAGTAGGAATGGAGGTTCATTATGCGAGGACCCTCGATTTTACACGCGTCTTTTCAACTATAGATCCGCGTGTGAGATAAATGTCGCCGAACATCTGCTACAATTGCATTGTGACGACAGCGTCCGCTGCCTATGAGAACATACGGACTCAACAAAGTCGTATATATTTCGTCCGCTCTTGAACTCCATACAACTATCTGTATGACGGGAGGGGGGGGTTACACGAGTTCTCGTCACTTTTGTAGCGAGCAGAACGCTGCTGCCCTCAGTCTTTGTGGTCAAGCAGATGGACGATAGTGATCCCAGAATAACTAGCACAACAAGCAGGTGAACCACCACACCGGATACTGTGCAGAATTAGATAAATAGCTGCATCTCGTTTGTTGGCTGCTCATCGATGGGATGGCAAAGACATGCATCCATGTGGCACTTGATCACAGCGAGTCAGTCAGTCACTGAATGAAGACACACCCTGCCAACGAAGGCAGGAAACAGTAGATGCAATAGAATGCAGCTTGTATTGTCGATAGCCTGCATGTTTACTGGTACCAAAACACACAATCAATAACTTAGCCCTTCCGCTTGGTGCTTGTCCCACGACGTCGTATGTGCAAAGTGCCCGTGCTGTCTGTCTTCCGTCTTCCTTGTCGTTGTTCATGGCCCTTGCTTCGTGCCAGGAACTGCTTATACGTAGTCCACAGGGATCATGTGTGGCCGGTGGACGAACGGGGAGACACAGGGACGAGAGGATGGAGGAGCCTGCCGCCGCTGCTGTCTCTTGGCTTCTTTCCGCTCGGCAATGTCCTCCACAAGCGTCCTCCGACGCGAGCAGTTGATGATGTTTGCTTCGCGCGAGAAGCGCAGGATCATGCCCTCGCTCACACCCGCGCTCTGGAGCAACTGCACGCGCTCGGTGGGTGTGAAGCGGTGCACGCCCTCCACGCGCTCGGCCATTTGCCCCACCTCGGTCGTCCACGTGAACTCGGGCTTGTCGCTCAATCCAATGGAGGGACCGCCTTTGCCAGGCACGGAGCTGCCGCCCAGTCCGACGCCAAACTCGTGGACGGTGATCGTGGACCACCGCAGCCGTTTCTTGGTCTTTTGATGGGGAAGAGCCACAGAGTCATTGGCAATGGACAATGAACGAACGTGCGGACGCTTCAGACGGCGTCGGTCAGGTGAAGCCTTTGGCACAGTGGACGACGTGGTGGAGCAGCTCGTGGCTCCTCCACTGCGAGTGGAGCTAGTGGACGCCATGGAGTTCACTTGGAACTGCGGGTGCATGGCAATGTCTGCTCCGTCGCGAGCTTCCATTGCGTCTTTCCCAGCCATGACGAGTACTCTCAATGCGGGAGCGGAGAAAAAAATGTGCGTGGTCAAGTGACGCGAGTGCGATGGAGACTTTTGGTGTATGCGCTCCGCTGGCCTTCAGGCTCCGCTGGCCTTCGGTCGTGAGACGCAGTATGTTTTGTTGACCTCCTGTCCTTAATTGCGACCGGTGTATCTCAAGGAGCGGACGGGGTCCGCGAACTGGATCTGAAGCAGTGGACGCTGAGCGGACGAAGCAGCCTGTCTGCCGCACAAACACGTTAAGCTTACACTGGCATGACTTAAGATCGTTACCCTACGCCTCGTCCGCTCTGGTGCCACCAACCAGCACTGACTTGCGAAACGTCGTACATTTGGGGAAGTCGTTGTATCATTGCATTAACTAGGGTACACTACTGACCAAGAGACGTAGACGGCATCCACTTCTGCCACGAACGTAGTGACAGTCAGTAAGCTTTCAAACAGGTCACTGGTACTACAGCTAGTCAGTTCATTATGACGTTGCCATCAATCGCAAGTTGTTAGGTAAATGCATCCATTCGCGACTGTTAGTCGATTATGTGATGAGCTATTGAGTTGTAGTACTTCCACTTGAACGACTTTACGTGCAAGTGAGCGGTGCGTCCAGACTTTCTGTATCGACTATGAGACGGTTCGTAGTATACAACAGAGCGAATGATTGCTGTCGCACTGGTGAAAAGCCTTTCGCTCTGCAGACGACGCATGATCTGTCCATTCGATTCATTGGGTCGCTGGTCCCTATCGAACTGTCTTTTCGAGCTCTGATCGTAAGGTCGGTGCAACAACAGCGGCAAATGCTTTCCACGCACGACACTCGACTTTTTCAAGCAGTTTTAATTACTCACGAGCGTCGTCAAAGGGCACCGATACAAATTACAGTCGCCCATCACAATGGACGCTGCACCGGAACGTACTTTACAAGTCGGACCCTATTCGTTTGCTCGACGTCTAAGTATGTGGTATCGTCATGTGACGGTGTTACGCATCATAGTACCCGAACATCATGCAACACAGTACTTACAATTCCCTGAATCAAATAAAAATAGTAGGCGGTGCAAACCATTCTCAGATCAAATGCTATTTGTGCTGTAAAACGTTTTATCCGACCATAAAGATGATCGTATAAACACTTGACTTGTAGCATGTACGTACACATGTGAGCACATGCTACGTCTGCTCATGCAGCAGTGACGCATTCAAGTCTTCCTTGCAAAGACCAGTCGAGCGATCTTTGAGCTTCACGTACCACTTCAAGTATATCAGTGGCAGCGTGACGACCAGAACAACCACAAGCACGAGACTTTGAGTCCACGCCTTGACGACGATGCTCACCATCAATACGTACAGTGCCAATTGAGCGATGACTATCAAGCCCGAGCACGCGAGATCAGCATAGTTTTCCGCGTCAATTGTAGCGATCATCTCCTTCGTGAAGCAAATGCGCTTGATGTCGCTCCAGGCACCCGGCGGACGTGCAAAGCGGTAGAATCGTCGCAGTACCTTGTCAGACTCAGGCCGAGTCAAAAGGCAGGCCGCAACGGAGATGACCCCGGAAATCGACGATATGATGGCGAAAGCCTGAATCTCTTCAAGCAACGGCACAAAGCTGCGCCACAATATGAACACAATGCAGGGAGAATGAGCCACGATAAAAGCTGGTATGAACGATGCAAACGTACATGAACACAGTGAACGCTGCGATATATCCCGTGACGACCCCGAGCAGACAGCTCAAAGCATTAAAGCGTTCCCAATACCACGAGAAGAAGAAGGGCCAGATGAGGCCACCCGCCATGGAGATGGCCATGAAGCCCCAGATGCGATTGATGGTGCTGATATCTAGCGAGAGAAAGAGACCAGCCAGCATTACGAAGACCGATGACGACCGCGCGTGCCACAATAGTTGACGTTCCGATGCATTGGGGTTGATCAGAGCCTGGTAAATATCCACGGTCCAGTACGACGACGAACTGTTGATAGTTGTGTCGAAAGTAGTGAGTGCTGCTGCTAAGAGAGATGCTAAGACGATCCCCTTTACACCCACGGGCAGCACCTTACTGATCACAACGGGCACCACGCGCTCCGGGTCAAGCACAACTCCAGCATGCTGTATTGAATAGTGGATGCCCATCACGGCAATACCACCACTGAAGGCCCAGCGCAGACTCAATAACACCATGGCCAGAAATGTCTGCGATCGCACTTCACGCTCGGACTTGGTTGCAAGCACGGTTTGAAGCCCTGAACCACCAGGCCCAGATGCTGAGCGCATCATCTGCAGCAACGAGTAGGAGACCAAAATGAGGGCGAAGGAATTATACATCGAAAAGGAGGCCTCATCAGGTAAACCCAAGGAGCTCGGTGGTACAGCTGATACCCACGCACTTCGTGTAGTGCGTACTTCGATGTACTCAGGCTCATCACGCACCGTCTTGCTCGGCAAGAATACGGAGAAATGATCCGGAAGGTGCACCATGAAGCCCATCCCCGCGACAATGACGAACGACACAAACATGAAGAAGCTCTGGTACACGTCAGTGTACACAATGGTAGAGAATCCGGACACGACCGTGTATAAAATCGCCACGACCATCAAAATAGCCGCTGCCCAGAATTCAGATGGCAATCCAAACCACTCTGGTAGCTGTACAAACTCGGTGAAAAACTTCCCTGCGTGCACACAATAACAGAACGAACGCTGCGTGAGCTACCAGCTCGCTTTCCCTTCACAACAACGCTTCGTTTCAACAACACGTCGTTTCAACAAAGCGTCGCCTCCCACCTCCCCCTACAGCAAAGTACGTCGTCGAAAGCACGCCACTAGTCAAGGCTGCAACCGCAATCATCGTCCGCAGCAGCACAGCACGCGTGTGCGTCCCGAACCGGAACTTGATCCTACCCACAGCAGCAGCAGCAGCAACAACAATAACAGCAACAAACATTCAAACCACAACGTGAGCAATGTATCCCGCTTTAGCAGCCACCACCCGTCCCCCTCCTTTTTTTTCTTCCATACAACAATACATCCACGCCATCACTCACTCACCATTCTCCTCTCGTCTTGACTGGACAGCGATGTGACAACTTGCCCGTGTAAGCCAATTGGAAAGCCAGGAACAAGCACAACCCGCCACGGATCTCCACGAACATGCCCTTCACGCCCAGAGCATAGACCAGCGCCGTATTGATCATCGTGCCCGAGATGTCAACGTACGAGCTCACGTCGGCCACTGCCAGTGCGTACCAGGGAAGCTGACGAGCTCCTAGATAGTATTCCTCCAGTACTCGCGCTTTAGTCTTGACTGGCTGGAGGCTCTTCTGGAGCGTCTCGTCGTCCCTGCGAAGCTGCTGACGCGCACTTTGCTCTCGAAAGGTAAAGAAGAGACCGACGAGCAGGACAGAGATCATGTAACTGACACAGAGAGCGAGGTCCAGCGTCCCGAGCTCGATCACGGAGCTCATGGCGAGAGCGGAGCTCTTCATTGCGAGTTTCGTGCAAAGAGATGGGTACAGGATTGCGGTACCATGTACCACTCACCAGCTGGAAGGAAGGGACTGCGTAGACTGTGTGTGTGTGCTAAGTCCGACACGTGCGGCTGGGGGTTGAAGTTTACGCTTTGGTTTGACGACGGACTGGTTTTCTTTCATTACACGGTTAGCTTACCGCACTTAGAGCCACGTGCGGACGTGTGTGGGAGCTTTTATTTCGAGCTCTGGTGGTAAACTTTCCACCGACTGTGTGTGGTACGTAAGATTTACAAACTGTCCCTCTTGACGGTTGAAATGGAGTGTGTGCGGAACTTACAGCCGTTTCAGCTTCTCGACTTCGTTGACTTCCGTGAGACATTCTCGACGCGAATTATAGCTACAAAAAAGAGGGATCAAAGCAGGGGGTTCTTTCCAGGTGGGGAATGCAGAAGGTGTACTTCTCGATGCCATGCGACGTGTGTAATCGTAGTATTTGAGAGTGGACGAAGGACAGAAACCGGACTGGCTCATTGCGTCGGAATTTTGTCCACAATTGCGAATACACGATCACGGCCCGATAGAGCTCGACCTTATTGATGGAGTGTACATTTCCACGTAAGCCGCCAATCGGTCCATATCCCCCGTGCCAATATGCAACAATTGCAACCTTTTGGTCTATTTATTCAATTGCATGAACCAGGGACAACATTCTTCTGAACGTTGTTACCATTAGGCTCGTCAGCGATGTTCACGGTACGGCCTTTGGCTATGTTCAATGCATTCGCAGCCGTGATCAGATCAGACCTTGTAGAGACTCTACCATACTGCAAAGAACGACACATGCGAAGGTCTAATAAACACGATCAGGCAGTTCCAATAGACAATTGTAGAGACAAGGATCGATCTGTGCATCCGAGCAGCAGAATCACATGCCTCCACCCATCCGTCGTTATTGTCGTCGCGCTTCATTCGCTCGACTTCTCATCCATCTTGATAGCGTTTACTCACTTAGACGACTCTACCGGCGGCATCGTTGTAGTATCTCAGTCCGTCTTCTTTCAAATAACTTAAGCCCTCATGGAAAACACGATGCCTTCCAAGATACAGGCAAGACAGCCATCAAGTACATGTCGTCCGTCCTGATCCTGGGCACGAGCACTGCATCTTTACGCGTAGCTGACAGGAATCATGCGTGGTCGTTGCAAGTGCACGGAACATGGAGGATACTCCAGCCTCGCCTGCTCTGCGCTGCGCTTGCAGTTCGACTTTCGAGACGTCTCCTTTTCCCCCTCCTTCTCAGTCTCGTGCTCTGCTCTCTCCTCCCCGCTCATGTTGGACCGACGACGCGAGCTCAAGATGATAGTGGCCTCACGTGCGTGACGCGTGATGATGCCATCCGGGATGCCGGCAGCCTGCAGTAAGCGGACGCGCTGGCTGGGCGAGAAGCGATGCACGCCCTCACTGCACTCGGCCATCTCGCCAACCTTTGTCGTCCACGTGAACTCGGGCGTCTCTGCCAGACCAATGGGCGGCCCGCCCTTGTTGGAAATGGCGCTGCCTCCCAGACCGACGCCGAACTCGTGCACAGTGATGGTCGACCACGTCACGCTCTTCTTGGACGGGGTGGACATCGACAGGTTGGCTCTGCAGTCCCCGTCCCGACCGTCGTCCGCCTTTGCTGTCTCGATGCAGAGTGACTGTCCACTTCCAACACGATCGATGGAGTCGGTCTTGACTGCAATTGGAGACGGTCTGCCAGCGTCGTCCAGTGCCGATGAGGTGCAGGTGGTTGGCGTTGAGGTGGTGACCTGTCCACGGCTACAACTGCCACGTCTTGATGCGCTGCTCGACGACCTCATTGACTTTGAAGGTTCGTTTGCAATGCCACAGATGATGATGATGATGATGGAGGATGGAGGATGGAGGAGATGATGATACGTGCGAGACACTGGCACTGCTTTGGAAGCTGCTGCTGTGACTACGCTACTGCAGCAGCTGCTGCTGGTTTACTGTCGTTGGGTTTGCGGGGATGTGGGTGGACGGACACTCTCGTCCGCTACTCGTCCGCTGTTCGTCCGCTCCTATGTTCGTGCTAGGTACGATGTGTCTTGTGACTGTAGCATGCACTCACTTTCGAAAAGGCGCGGACGACGTTTATATCGCGTCCGATCCGACGACTACTGCGACCGACACGACGGCCGCCCATCGCATTCCGACCACGTCCTCTCATAGTGAACTCAAGATGTACTTGTCGCACTTGGCAGCGCTGAATGCAGTCAGTCAGTACTTGCACGTAGCTGCTGATTGATGAAAGACTTATCGCAGCGACGATGGACGCGAGACCGGAGACGTACGTCGTTGAGTCCGCTGCCTTGGGCGCTGGTCCGAGTGAGTTGCTGGAAACAGTCCGTCCATCGACGTCCTGGTACACTCGATCGACACTCGCGTGATGGACCTGCCAGACTTGATATTCAACCGCTTTTGACTACGACCACCGGACGCAATCCGGAGACTTTCAACGACTCACTCTATGCACGGATCACGCGCTCTGAATATCTAGATAAAGTTCAAGCACCAGAACTAAAAGCAAAAGAAAAGGCAGCTGGGTGCGCGACCCGTCGCTGTTGCAGCTGCCGCTTTCCCTCGCCAAGTCGACTGACCATCTTTCTCATCGCTCTAGTTGTGCCCGATGGTTGTTCTTCCCACTCGAGAGTCGTCTCGATTACAGCTCGATGTGAGACCGAATCCATCCACCACCCACTTTCAGGAGAATCGATTGTCACAGGTACGTCCACTGAGTGGACATATGGCGGTCCGCCTCTCATCTGGACGTAACTGCCGTCATTATAAAGTGTGCACAACCGGTCCACTTTCACAATAATGGCCGCTGTGTTTGCTTTGCTAATGCTGCGTATCATCGCGCTGTAAAATCGGCAGCATCATATGTGGTGGTACCTTGACGACTCATGCTCACGTCAAGTAATTGCTCACGTTAATTGATAACCGTTGGTGTGCCTAAATGTAGTTGGTAGGTAGTAAGTGGAGAGTCTTAGTCACTGTAAACTTGAGTGCTAGTACTAGATAATGTAACGCGAACGTCCGCTAAGGAGGCTATCAAGCACTTTTCGAGTATGTTTGGTCAACTTGACTGTACTAGCATCATAAATCTGTACATGTTTAGCAATCGAAAGCACATCTGCGACACGAGATCGATCGAATAACATTTACGGGATATGAATGTAAAACTACTCCGGCAATTCGTTTTTAGATCCATTACTGCAGACTGTCCCAGGGATGATCGTTCAGAATTTCGTACATTCGGAACTGTAGCGAGCAGGGTTGACAGCCTTCCCCACTTCAACCAGTTCTACCACCACGTTTCTGTCGATAGCCACTGTTTCTCCTGTGTTGTATATAGTCTCTCGCGAGCTCCAGTCTCAGTCGCTCCAACTCATCTCACGTTTCCAAGATCCTATTTACGCATTTGTCAGCAGATCCGATCAGGACAGTTGACGGAAAAGCACAACTAGGGTGGGTTTGCTTTCTCCAACTTCGCCAGAGTTGCGTTCCAACTCTTCAGAAATCGTTATCGTAACCTTCGTACTCCGTCACGCTTGACTTCGGTCATGTTTTTACGTTGTCAGATGACAATGGTGTTGCCCGTACCAACAGGAAGAAGCAACCCATTCGGCATCATTTGAACTGTCGGTTGTCAGTATTACTGGTTGCATATTGACTGGAGTGGGTACGACAACTACTCGGCGACTCGATGTCGAAAACGGTCTCGATCTCGTTTCATCAATGACATCAATTCGTATAAAGACCATTCCTTGCTACACTTTGCCACAAATATCGCGACCATAGCGAGATAAAAGCGACCATGAACACCTGCAGGTATCCGTAAGTGAAACGAATGATCAAAGTCTTCCTCCGAATCAAGCCATCGTAGCTGTGCAGGCTTTCATGTTAATCAAATATGACTTGATGAAATGACGGCTGGAGAAATCTTGGCATCTATCATGTTCGTTTGAACGCTTCCAGAACCAACGATAGTCAAGGGAACAATTGCTGCAGCTCATCAATCACGAGTGGGGATCTCTGTTTATTTGCCAGCAGCAGCACGATCTGAGAGCCTTGTGACATGGCCAGGAAGCAACGTTCGACCGAAAGCGCGTAAAGTGCTCAACATCTGCTGCATTTACGTCGAATCCACAGCCCTCACCGGCTGGAGACAAATTTGCGGACACAGCAAGTTGCGTCGCCAGTTGCAAGACTCAGAGGACGGTTTGATTTTCCTGCGAGAGCCTGGTCTTCTCTTCGGAAAGAGGAGCTTCTCCGACGGACTCTTGCCTTGACTGTTGTGACACTTCACGATGCTCACAGCCTCGAACCACTTGCAAAAAGGCATAAAATCCAAACGTCGGGAGACCCAGAAGTACAAGCACTACCGTGTAGTCGCCATTGAGGTATCGCTGGGTCCATGGGTTCATGAGACAGATCAATAACCCAAAAGAAAACGAGACTGTTGCAAGAAACGCTTGGAGTGTGCCGTAGAGCTCAGCAGGAAAACACATAACTACACAACGCACCCGTTAATAACTATCGCCAAACATGTGAAGAACGTGTCAACAGGATCGCAGGTTTCGTGACCACTTACTGATGTAGGCAAATTATAGTGAGTACAGACAACTTTGGGCCATCGCGAAGACGAAAAACGTGATGAGCTGCACTTGGAGTGAAGGCACCAGAAGAAGAACAATCAGAAGTTGGACGAGAACAATGCAGGCCACGAACACCATTTTGAATCCGTAGTGATCAATGACGTAGCCGACTATAGGCGAATAGCAAAAGGTGCTATTCACGACAATGGGATAGATGACATTCGTATACAGCGACGCGGCACTAATGTCATCCCCAGCCAGTTTACTCAGCAAGCTTGGTAATGCACCACCGGTAAACGCAAATGTGAGCGACACCCAGCCGAAAAGCACTGCAAGCAGCCACAAATCTTGTCGTTTTAGCATTTCTTGCAAGCCGTCCACCAGAAAAGCAGGAGTCTGGATAAGCAGTCCACATACACACATACGCGATACTAAAGCGTCAGAAATACAGCGTCTAGCAATCAGAGCCACAACAACAGCTCGTACATTGTTTCGTGGTAATTCAAAGTGCAAAAGAGGGATAGCGAGAAATTCGCTCGGTCTGTTGATGTTGTTCGTCGGAAAGAGCAAGTAACCGACAAAAGCGCATACGCTCGCCAAAATGCTACGCAAACAAGAACAACAACAACTCAGCAGCACGTCACTATCGTGCCACAATACAAGTGTTACCGCCTTTCATCCGCTCTTATTGCGTACCCATAACCGCAAAAGAAATTTGTCCGTGTCATGCCATGAAGTCCCAGTAGCACGTATACAAAACCCGAGCAATTAAACAAGCTCGAAAGCGTGCTGCACACTAGACCTTGAACATTGAACAATTGCAACATCTGGAATGCAGCCAGATAAACACCCATTCCACCGATCGCTACGAGTGAATATCCAGCAATGATCCACAGACCAGAGCTTTCTGTCTGTACCAACGCGAGTGCAAAATTCCCGCACGTTGAGAGCAAAAGCGCCAATACAATCGTTCCACGAGGTCCCATGACATCTAGAAACACGCCAAAAAAGACGTTTGACGCGCTCAGACTCAAGAATGCCGTCGAAAATACCGATTGCAGATACACTTCCTGCGCAGCGCACAAAACGCCGCTGTCCTCGTTTCTATTCTGCTGCTCCTCCTTAGAACACACGTTTACCCATAGCTTTTCTCGTACGAGCATTGAGTAGACCGGTCCGAACCTGTATATACAGTATAAGAGAATGAGCACCTTGTCGTTAACAAACGAGCCGCAGCACCAGCAATGACAGGGTACTCATCAGTTATTCGTACCCTAGAATGAGCCCGCCAGACATGAACAGTACGAAAAACGCCGACACTAGAAACATGCACTCCTTCGAGAGCTGCCACCTCGTTTCCATGATCTGTAGTAGCGACTAACTTCTGCTTCTCGTGATTATATCTGCACGTCTGCTTTTTCAGCTTCTTGTCGAAGAGGCTGACGGCGCGAAGTATCTTTAACGTCAGCAAGGAGCTATTGCCTTATCCTGCCCCGTATCCTGTGTGGCACGACAACACTTTGCAAAACCGGAACATGAGCTCTGTAAAGTCACGAACAGCGAAAGGTCGCGTATGCTTTTTACGAGGTTCTCAGGTGGACGAGCGGACGAGTGGACGAGCGGACGGTTGTATGCTGAAAGATTTATGGGTGTACCTTGGCAGCAAATACTTGACGTGAGCATGGATCGTCAAGGTACCACCACATATGATGCTGCCGATTTTACAGCGCGATGATACGCAGCATTAGCAAAGCAAACACAGCGGCCATTATTGTGAAAGTGGACCGGTTGTGCACACTTTATAATGACGGCAGTTACGTCCAGATGAGAGGCGGACCGCCATATGTCCACTCAGTGGACGTACCTGTGACAATCGATTCTCCTGAAAGTGGGTGGTGGATGGATTCGGTCTCACATCGAGCTGTAATCGAGACGACTCTCGAGTGGGAAGAACAACCATCGGGCACAACTAGAGCGATGAGAAAGATGGTCAGTCGACTTGGCGAGGGAAAGCGGCAGCTGCAACAGCGACGGGTCGCGCACCCAGCTGCCTTTTCTTTTGCTTTTAGTTCTGGTGCTTGAACTTTATCTAGATATTCAGAGCGCGTGATCCGTGCATAGAGTGAGTCGTTGAAAGTCTCCGGATTGCGTCCGGTGGTCGTAGTCAAAAGCGGTTGAATATCAAGTCTGGCAGGTCCATCACGCGAGTGTCGATCGAGTGTACCAGGACGTCGATGGACGGACTGTTTCCAGCAACTCACTCGGACCAGCGCCCAAGGCAGCGGACTCAACGACGTACGTCTCCGGTCTCGCGTCCATCGTCGCTGCGATAAGTCTTTCATCAATCAGCAGCTACGTGCAAGTACTGACTGACTGCATTCAGCGCTGCCAAGTGCGACAAGTACATCTTGAGTTCACTATGAGAGGACGTGGTCGGAATGCGATGGGCGGCCGTCGTGTCGGTCGCAGTAGTCGTCGGATCGGACGCGATATAAACGTCGTCCGCGCCTTTTCGAAAGTGAGTGCATGCTACAGTCACAAGACACATCGTACCTAGCACGAACATAGGAGCGGACGAACAGCGGACGAGTAGCGGACGAGAGTGTCCGTCCACCCACATCCCCGCAAACCCAACGACAGTAAACCAGCAGCAGCTGCTGCAGTAGCGTAGTCACAGCAGCAGCTTCCAAAGCAGTGCCAGTGTCTCGCACGTATCATCATCTCCTCCATCCTCCATCCTCCATCATCATCATCATCATCTGTGGCATTGCAAACGAACCTTCAAAGTCAATGAGGTCGTCGAGCAGCGCATCAAGACGTGGCAGTTGTAGCCGTGGACAGGTCACCACCTCAACGCCAACCACCTGCACCTCATCGGCACTGGACGACGCTGGCAGACCGTCTCCAATTGCAGTCAAGACCGACTCCATCGATCGTGTTGGAAGTGGACAGTCACTCTGCATCGAGACAGCAAAGGGGGACGACGGTCGGGACGGGGACTGCAGAGCCAACCTGTCGATGTCCACCCCGTCCAAGAAGAGCGTGACGTGGTCGACCATCACTGTGCACGAGTTCGGCGTCGGTCTGGGAGGCAGCGCCATTTCCAACAAGGGCGGGCCGCCCATTGGTCTGGCAGAGACGCCCGAGTTCACGTGGACGACAAAGGTAGGCGAGATGGCCGAGTGCAGTGAGGGCGTGCATCGCTTCTCGCCCAGCCAGCGCGTCCGCTTACTGCAGGCTGCCGGCATCCCGGATGGCATCATCACGCGTCACGCACGTGAGGCCACTATCATCTTGAGCTCGCGTCGTCGGTCCAACATGAGCGGGGAGGAGAGAGCAGAGCACGAGACTGAGAAGGAGGGGGAAAAGGAGACGTCTCGAAAGTCGAACTGCAAGCGCAGCGCAGAGCAGGCGAGGCTGGAGTATCCTCCATGTTCCGTGCACTTGCAACGACCACGCATGATTCCTGTCAGCTACGCGTAAAGATGCAGTGCTCGTGCCCAGGATCAGGACGGACGACATGTACTTGATGGCTGTCTTGCCTGTATCTTGGAAGGCATCGTGTTTTCCATGAGGGCTTAAGTTATTTGAAAGAAGACGGACTGAGATACTACAACGATGCCGCCGGTAGAGTCGTCTAAGTGAGTAAACGCTGTCAAGATGGATGAGCAGTCGAGCGAACGAAGCACGACGTCGGCAGCGTGAGCAGTCCCGGATAAAGTGCTGGTTGTGTGTAGTATAAGGTTTATATTCGCCTACGCGCCGGCATTTGTGATCACTAACTTGGTCAATTAAGTGTGCTTGGGTGTTTATTGTAGGTATCTGAAGTATTGAGGAAAAGCAGTAAAAATGCCTGGGATTAATGCACAAGACTTAGATTCCGATACACTGGTGATGATTACAAGACGCAGAGATGGAGATTAGTATCGGGTTTGTGGTAGTAAGTGCCCGTCAAACTGCATAGCTTTTCGCAGCCACGAGCTCAGCACTTCTAGCCCCAGCTCTTCAGATCTCCAAGTTCTTGCACTATCTTTCAGGTTCAGCCTTTTTTTTCAGGACGACGAAGGCACGATCGATCAGAGTGGACCGCATCATGCGTCTGCACCACGGTGATGTCTCTCCCGTTTCGTGGCGTTGTAGCTAAGTCGTTTTGCTGACTTGAATGATTGATTCGTATGACAAATAGCTGTTCGGGTGCAGGTTTTAGGTGGCGAGAGTCGCTTTCTCTGCGACAAAAGGGAGCTCCTGTTCATTTGACTGCACTTTACATCCAGTGGATGAACTCGTAGTGGTCGCAGTGCCCTTCCTCATGCATGGCCAAAGTAGGGTTGTTAAACCGGGTGGACAGTACTCCTCAGCATGAGTGGTTCATCACCGGAGTGTTGATTGAGACGCTGAAGCAATGGGCACTACTGAGCCGAGTTGAGGTAGCAAAGATATGAAACCAGCGCGGCTGCCGTCCACTTACAAACGCTAGTACGACACACGTCGCACATAACCAGAACGTGCTTGCGACGCAGAAATCAGTCGTTATGTGCTGTAGAGTAAATGGTGAGCTAAAGGGAGTTGTGGGAAACCACTGAAACCGCTTTTAGTCAACTGACGACCTGCTTCGAAGTACGACACATGCGACTCGGATGTCTAGCATCTGTTTGGCAAACAGGAGAGAAGTGGCACCCGTTCACTCGCGGCTGGCGGTATTGAGATGCGAATGGACAACCCGGAATCTATTTCAGCATCGTCGTCGGTCGGTATCATTAAATATGCTCGCGCAACTCGGAGCAAGCAACGGATCAAGTGGACACGTTGTAGTCCATTAGTGCTCAAGTGTTGGTCGGGCTCACGAGACACATGTCAGGAGTCATCGGTCGGTTCCTGCTGTGTACGATCATAGCAATAAATACCCGACGATCGACAACAAGACGAAAGCGAGGAGAGTCTCGGTTTCAAGTGACATGTCACCTCACCGACTGCAATGCAGTGCAGTGCACGAAAATCTCTGCACTGTTGTCAGATACAGGGAAGTTCAAATACTTGCTCAGCAGCCCAACGTGGCTTGACGACCAGTCAGCCACTACCAGCCTCAAACTCAATCTGACACACAGTAGAGAAGTAAGCGATGTAATGGACCCACTTGGGTTTGCGGTGTCGCGGTCAGTGCGACAGGCGATAGCAGCATAGTATCTCCAGGTCGGGGTGCAGTTTACAGACTGCGTGCTGCTGGTTGGTGGCACCAGAGCGGACGAGGAGTAGGGTAACGATCTTAAGTCATGCCAGTGTAAGCTTAACGTGTTTGTGCGGCAGACAGGCTGCTTCGTCCGCTCAGCGTCCACTGCTTCAGATCCAGTTCGCGGACCCCGTCCGCTCCTTGAGATACACCGGTCGCAATTAAGGAGAGGAGGTCAACAAAACATACTGCGTCTCACGACCGAAGGCCAGCGGAGCCTGAAGGCCAGCGGAGCGCATACACCAAAAGTCTCCATCGCACTCGCGTCACTTGACCACGCACATTTTTTCTCCGCTCCCGCATTGAGAGTACTCGTCATGGCTGGGAAAGACGCAATGGAAGCTCGCGACGGAGCAGACATTGCCATGCACGAGCAGTTCCAAGTGGACTCCATGGCGTCCACTAGCTCCACTCGCAGTGGAGGAGCCACGAGCTGCTCCACCACGTCGTCCACTGTGCCAAAGGCTTCACCTGACCGACGCCGTCTGAAGCGTCCGCACGTTCGTTCATTGTCCATTGCCAATGACTCTGTGGCTCTTCCCCATCAAAAGACCAAGAAACGGCTGCGGTGGTCCACGATCACCGTCCACGAGTTTGGCGTCGGCCTGGGCGGCAGCTCCGTGCCTGGCAAAGGCGGTCCCTCCATTGGACTGAGCGACAAGCCCGAGTTCACGTGGACGACCGAGGTGGGGCAAATGGCCGAGCGCGTGGAGGGCGTGCACCGCTTCACACCCACCGAGCGCGTGCAGTTGCTCCAGAGCGCGGGTGTGAGCGAGGGCATGATCCTGCGCTTCTCGCGCGAAGCAAACATCATCAACTGCTCGCGTCGGAGGACGCTTGTGGAGGACATTGCCGAGCGGAAAGAAGCCAAGCGACAGCAGCGACAGGCTCCTCCATCCTCTCGTCCCTGTGTCTCCCCGTTCGTCCACCGGCCACACATGATCCCTGTGGACTACGTATAAGCAGTTCCTGGCTCGAAGCAAGGGCCATGAACAACGACTAGGAAGATGGACGACAGACAGCACGGGCACTTTGCACATACGACGTCGTGGGGCAAGCACCAAGCGGAAGGGCTAAGTTATTGATTTTGTGTTTTGGTACCAGTAAACATGCAGGCTATCAGCAATACAAGCTGCATTCTATTGCATCTAGTGCAACTCCAACGACGGAGGGTCCGACTTGGACGACCGTGGCGATGTGCTTTCCATCACGTACATTTGCAATGAAGCGTCACCTGAAAAGCCGCTGCCTCGAAACGACCATGAGCCGTAACTTTCATTGCTCATGTCGCTTGCAGTCCCCCAGACGAGGGGGATACTACTGCTAGCGCTAGTGTATGTTGTCAGGCTCTGTCCTTACTACAGACACGGTACTTCATGGATGTGAATGCTGAACTGCTCGTAATCCGGTGGCGCCAGGGTCAAAAAGGCGACGATTTTTCGGTTCCAGCTTCATCTAGTACACGCAAATGATACCTACCATCCGGTCGGGTAATTACACGATGAATCCCCTACCCGTATGGGACAATAGCAAAAGAGGGACCTCGTCGGATAAGTAGTGGACGGCCACTTTCAACTGAGAGTGGAGCGTTCCTAGCGAATTCGAGCGCCTGGACAGAGCCGGGTCAACTGGCTGCTGCTTGGTCGTAGCGTTCGATGAGTATTCTGAATGGTACAGTTTGACCCCGCGATACGTCCGCTTGTTGGTGGACGAGAGAGTAGGGCAAGCGGACGACTTGGAGCGACCACGTTGACTGGATGGTCAAGAATGTAAGGGGCGCTTTGTTGCGAGCGGACGACGAGGGGGAGGTGGTGGACGGATGGATGGATGGATGGATGGATGGAGAACTGGATGGAGACGTGGAAGACCACATACACTCGAGGTGCAAGCGACGGGCATTGCGATCTGGTCTTTTGTTGGGTTCTCCCAATCCTCGCAGCTACAATCCAGGTACGATCAAAGCGTCCGCGCATGCTCATGATGTCTTCCACCGTCGCTCGATAGCTTTGTGTGGCCTGTGTGAATGTAGTGACACGCGTGCGAATGACGGCAGCAACTGCAGCAGAGCACCATGACCGCAAAAGAGGACTCGAGACAGGTACGACCTCGACGCCAAGACAATATGCTACATAGCGCGTTGATTGATGCGGGCTTATTGCATGTAGGCGGATGCTGGCTAGGACTGTCGGTGCGCTGCTGTCCTGCAGTGCTGCTGCAATAACTGCCACGAATGCTGCCACATTCGTGCCCTGTAAATAGTCCTCCGTCCATTCAATAGTAGCCTCCTCCATCTTCTACTCGCTCGTGTATACACTTCTCCCCCTCCATCTCTTCACTCATCTCAAAAAGAAGGTAAAACACAGTCGTCCACTATCCGTCCGCTCTCCATCGTAGAAACACGACACGACACCACCTCCATCCACCTCCCCACCCTCTCGTCCACCGTCGTCCACCACCACTTCACGCCGCCACTTGACGCTGCACCGACACGCAGAGCCTCCTCGACATGGCGATGTCCGAGCTTTCCATCATCATGCGGTAAATGCGCTCCTCACTGCAGCCAGCCTTCGTCAACATGGAAATGCGCTCCAGCGGCTTGAGCCATCGCACGCGGCTCCTGCGCCGCTGGACGCGACGTTTGTGCCGCTCTTCCCTCTCCTGCTCCCGTCCACTAATGTCGTCCACCACCTCGTTGCTCGGCCGCGTGAGGGCCAAGTCCCCACACCGTCGCACCGTCTCCAGTGTCGTGCTCCACACGTGCTGCGGCGTACGCGCCAGCCCAATGGACGGTCCACCGCGACGGGGGACGGCGCTCCCGCCCAGAGTCACGCCAAACTCGTACACGGTCACAGTGGACCAGCGGACGCACTTGCTCGTTCTTGAGGTGACTGGCGTCGTCATGACTGCAGTGGCTCCTGCTCCTGTTGTGGTCGCAGTGTGCTGCGGCATGGCTGTCGGTCCACTTTACTATAAGAGTTTATAAGTGGACGCGCCAGTGGACGTCTCTGTGCGTGAGGCGGCAGGAGCGAAGGAGAATGAACGACCGACCGACCGGGACGTGTACGACGACTGGAAACGGTCTCTCCCGCTCTCTTTCTCGTGAGTTCCCCGCGGGTTTTGAACCGCGATGGACGTCACATACTCAGACGGAAAGAAACGGGCGCCATCGACGGCGAATAGAGAGAGAGAGAGACGCTAAACGGGCGTCACCTGCCCTCGCTCTTGTGTGGATGTCGTCGTACCGTGTTACGACTGGCTTGCTTGGCGAAGGGGTCGACGCGTCCCAGGTCGTGTGTCATTGGCGGAAAGTCGAGAAAAACACGAGGTTCGGGAGCTGTTTGAAATGTCCCAATTGACCCACGGGGTGATTTGTGACAAGGCTGTATCATCGTTATTCTGTCAGAGTTCGTGCAAATAGAACTTCCCGTATTCTCGACGCTATTTTAGATCGTCGTGGTTGCAACATGAGGGAACAAAGGTGCGACTTTGTCTCTTAACTTGTCTCGCGACATGAAGCTCCGTCTTGAAATAGATCATGGGTGAGCAGAGACAGATCGACACAACGGGCAAGCAAATGGCAATACCGGTATCCTGCCCCGCCAGTCGTCTCAGCCAACTAACTGTCCAAAAAGATCCCACGTCCATAATAGTGACACCGAGCACCAATCACTACTGTCTACTATTCCTGCTTTCAACTCGTTCCCGTCGACTTGAGATATCCAAAACGTAAATAATAATCCAATAGAATCGACCAACAACATACCCAGCAGAAGTCCCAGTAACGAAAAAAGACCATCGCTGCATAATGACAGGGACATTGTGTACGCGCCCGACCCCTCTGCTCTCCATTGCACTACTGCATCTCTGTACTATCCTCGTCGTCGTCGAATGCAGCGATAGTTCTGGCTCCGATTGCGACGGCTGCTCAGAGGACACGTTCAGCCCTTCGCAAGGCGTGACGGGACTCCTGAGCTCGACCAAGGGAATGAAAGTGGGAAAAGGCATGCTGGCTGTCGGTGCGATGCTCGTCGGCCTTATCGTGTGTCTTGCCGGCTACCGGCTCTTTCGGCCGACTGTATTCTGCAGTGCTTTTGTCGTCGGGGGACTCTTTCTCGCTGGTATCATTGAAACCGCGTTCGCGAGTCTGGACTGGATGCCCACGGCTTCATGGATCGGCTTTGCTGTTGGTGGCCTCATTGCTGGGATTGCGGTGCTGTTTCTCTATAGCGCCAGCATCTTTCTGGGCGGTGCCGCTGGCGGCGTCATGCTCGCGTTCACCATCAATACATCCGTGGGGACTAAGATTATTCCAAGTAATCCGGATATTCTGCTCGTCATTTTAGCGCTCTTGCTCGGTATTTTTGGCGGTATCTTGGCACTGAAACTGGAGAAACCGGTACTGATCACAGCGACAGCGATTGTCGGGGCGACCGTCTGTGTCTGGGGCGTCGGCTACTTTGCCGGTGACTACCCGAACGGCGCGGACTTGAAAGCGTTTGGAAAGAAAAATGACGACGGCAATTGGGTGTACCACATTCCAGATGCTTGGTGGGGATACTTGGGGGCCATGGCCGTGCTTTTCATGCTGGGGATGAGTGCGCAGATTGGCAAGACAGCCCGTGGATACGACCACGGAGGCCAGAGGGAGAGTCACGGGATAAAGAAGAACCCGGACCATGCGGCCGTGTAGAAAAATCAGTGTATACGTGAGGGAGAGCAGGTGGGGGTTGGACATTATCGTGCTGCATGCTACAACGGGGAATATACACGGGAGGAATGCATTCACGTGCGTTCCGTATGCGTTGTGGTCGGTTGTTCGAGTGTAGCCGTGCTCTGCTTTGTGCGCATGTGCCTTCTTCTCATCAGGAGGATCCAGTGTACTCAAAAATGAGCAATACGAGTGAGTATCATTATCTTCATCATTAGTAATGCCCGACGTCGAGCATGATACCGTAGCGCGAGTAGCGTGACGACAACTAGCATTCCCTGACATCAAAGCGACGACGTCACGACCACAGCAGAACCAAAGTGCGCCCACATCATCACATAACGTGAATGGCTGACACCATTTGTCTGCTTCGTCCTCTTGCATTTTGTCGGCAGTGATGAAGTTGTCTCGGCCTCATAAAACAACATCCATTTATTGTGCATTCGGCACCTAGCTCCACGCCTATGCTGCAATTACCGCTGTCTGCATTCCACTCATCGCTGCTCTTTGCGAACTGCTAGTTCGTCTGCTTCAGTAATAAATGCTTGAAGACTCAGAGCGACAACCGCAATGAGTTTGTGGTTCGATCATTCTGTGCACGTGCGGTGCCTCTGATCGCTCGGTTCTCAGCGCAATCAAGATCGGTAGCTAGCCCGGGCCTTGCAGACGTCATGCACCGACCTGCCCATGCTAGCGATGCGTGAACTACTTATCATGCAACCGTGAAAACGCCATTTGGTGTTCGGCGAAGCAGTGCAGCGAAGCAGAAGGCCTGAAAGAGCGTTTCTTGGTAGTACGAAGCATTCAGGAGGTACACTGCAAAAAGCACGTAGCAGGCATACACGCTCAGGTATTCATTCACCGCACCGCCTTCTCAAGGAACAACGTTGTCTCGAACCGTTGGCTGGAACACAGAGTGTGTATATCCGCTTGGACACACCATTGTCACAGCACATTGCACTTTCCTGTTACACTTCCATATTGGAAAGAAACGCTCCAACGTACTGCGCACCGATCGGCCTAGTTACTTCTGGGTACTCTTGCTGCTGCTAGCTTGTTGTTTTGTATGGCTTCCGTCACTTCAAAGAAGCCATCCAACCCAAGCATTGACGCAAATTTACTGTCCAGATCGACCAGCTCAATGCGGCTGGACTCCCACTCGGCAAGTTGGAGAAGACTGGAGTCTCTGTCTGCGGCAGACTTGTCAACGGGTTCACCTTTCACACATAGTCTCGACAGCACGTGCTTCACAGCAGCTGCGTAGATGTTCAGATTTGTTAGACTGTGACCATCAATCGCACTATTCCACAGCAAAATGCTTGCCAGCACGTGACAGAAAGCCAACACCGGCATCTTCTTCGTTGTCAACTGATCGTCGAGCCACGACCAATCAGCAAAAAACATGTACGGCAGCTTCTTTAGCGTGTGGTCCCAGAGATGTGCCATTAACTCACTACCGAAACCATTCAAGCGGAAGCTACCGAATTGAGGACATTCACTCGTCACCGTAAGCACATCAAACATGAGCGCAAAGAGATAGACGGATGCAGACGTGTCCACATTGCACTTTATCGCTGGTAAGAATGATCCACAGTGAAGCGCACGAGCCACGGCATGCATCGCCCTTTCTTGACGACGACTCCATTCGTTAATAACGTCATCACTGTTCGCAGCGCTGGACATACTCGCAGGGTTCACAGACAGTCCTAGCTTGTCAAAAGTCGATGCGTCCGTTCCATGGGCTCGTTTTGTCAAGTGCTCGATCAGATATTCGGCCCACAAAAGATGCTTCTGTTTTATGATATCACAATACTTGGCGCGTATGCTACAAGCATCGAGAGCACAAGTTATTCGGGAAGCCTCCGAATTGTTCCGTTCTGGCACATTCTGCCTGTTCAAAACCACGGCTTGAAGAAGGCACTGCGTCAAGTACACCGGAAAAATTTGCAGAAAAACGTATCGAAGCTGAAACCGATGCACTCGAGACAGTTCTACACACTCATCGTCCTTCAGCTGTGTAAAACTGGTAGCCCATTGGACGTTCAGATCGGGAGCGCCACCCAAGCAAAAGTACAGCAAAAAGCCCATTTGTAGATCTTCTTCTTGCTGCAACCGATCATTCGTTTCGGCACGAGCACCCTCCAAGCTGGCTGATGGTGCCATTACACCAACATCAACGGCTGGTGTGATCATAACAACATCAGTAGGCTGCAGCACTTCTTTCTCATCCGACAGTACATCAAGAGGGGCCTCACTTCGAGTTGCGAACGGCTCTCGTTCGACTGCAATACGGTCTCCGTGATAGTCGTCATCGTCGTCGTCTTCAATGACAATAACCTCCTGTGTCTTGCGAGACCGTCCTTTGCGGCGAGTAGGTCGAGTCGATTCTTGCTTTCGCTCTACTGCATCTTGCCTGGTATCCCTGTAAGCAACTTGCGCAGAGTCCGTGCATAACGTACGCGGATTCGTAGCATAGTCGACTCCATCATTACCTCGCGAATTGTATCCTTGACTGTCGTAACGAGAGTGATCATCACTTTGAGCGTCTTGGGCAGATGTCACCGATTCGTATTCGCTGTAACAAGAATCATATTGAGGTTCACCCCACGACGAACGATTGTGCGGGCTACGGCCCCGACGATGCGGACTTCGGCTCCGGCTCCGACGTCCTCTCCGTGATGCCCATGTGATATCATATGATGAAGACTCTTGCGCTGGCTCGTAACGTGAGGGTCTTTCTCGATAGTTCCGAAAGGTCACTGAAGGTGATCGCGGTGGCTGCAATGCCAGCGGTACAGAGGGCGGAGATCCACCGTATTGCCAGTCCGAGCCTTGTCCACGGTCTCGTCGAGCAGCGACTGTGTGCCGGACGGCATCATCCAGTCGTCTCATCCCCTGATCAAATTCACGATGTTTGCTCTGCACGTCAAACAAAGCGTCTTTCAGTCGTGTGATCTCCGTAGCATGCAGCCGTGAATCATGATCTAGTGCGTCGAACAGCTGCGTACTCAGTTCTTTCAGCCTTGTTTCAGCAATATGCTTTTGCTGACTCGCCCGAGCACTGATCTGCTTTGCAAGCGATGCAATATCGATACCAACAGCTTGAAAGTCGTGATTGATCCGTCGTAATTCATTCTGGATCCCAACCAAATCCTCTTGACGCACAACATCCTTTAAAAGACGAGGCATGTCAAGGGATTCTGGCGTCGCCCACCCCACTGCAGATGTACATCCGTCCTCTCTCACCTCATCTCTGTCCATCACACGATGAGATATCGTGTCCACACCTTGTCTCTCGATCTCCCTCACTCTGTTCGTCAGCGCCTCCAGCTCTGCTCTCGTGTTGTTCTGTTCCTCCCGCTTCTCGTTCTCCATCTTCTCTACTTGCTGCCGCAGCTTCTGCATCTCTTGCCACGTGACTGCTCCGTCCTGTGACCCGCACAGCTGCCCTGTCCTGGACGTCTCGTCCTTCAATGACTGCATCATTTTCCTCAATAACTGGACCTCTTGCATCGTCTCGTCATGCCATTGGACCACCTTCTTCAGCTGTTGCTCCTGCGTGTCCAACACCACGTCCCGTCCCTCGCGCACCTTCATCAGCTCGTTCTCGTAGTGCTCGTGGAGCTCCGTCAGCTGCGTCATGAGAAACTCCTCAGTGACGCTCTTGTCCGTGCACTGGCTCAGCCTCGTCTCCATCCTCATCAAGCGAGTGGTTAATTGACTCAACTCGACCTTGAACCGCGTCTCGGCTGCTCGGAGCTGGCGCTGTGTCTCCTCTTTCACTTGACCGCTGACCTTCACTGCTGTATGGGTCTGCACGACACAGCGCGCGGCCTTTTCCACTGCAACTTGGACCGCGTCTTGAACTTTTGTTACTTCAGAGCGAACGCGAGAGCCCTCGCGCCGCAGCTCACGCATGTCGATCGTCAAGGCACGATGCCAGTTCTCCAGTGTCTGGAGCTGGGCATCGACAGCAAAGGATCGAGGCAACGACGACAGCGACGCCGTTGTTGCTGCTGGTAGCTTGCTCATGCGCTTCCGCTTGCGCTTGCTGTTGCTCTCCGATGACGCCGTTGCCATTGATGAAAAGACAAGAGTGATGGTCTGGATGATCGCGTGTGTGTGTGTTTGTGTGGTGGACATCGATTACGCGACGTGGGACGGCGCGAGCGAAAAAAAACAGCTGGTTTACAAGCAATATTATCGACGAGATGTTATCCTCTCTACCCAAAGCATTTCGTTGACAAGTGGGTACACAACGAACGCACAGACCGACGTGCGATACCCATAATGCTACTTCTGCTTTGCATTCCATCTTCACGGATGTGGCAACAACTTCCAGCGTTGGTTAGATAGCTGGATATAGCTAGCTACCCGGCACCTTCTCCGATCCAGAACAGGCGGTGCTGTTCGAGCAGCTGCTGTTCAAACTGCTCCGCGGTGGACTTGATATTCGGTATGATATGCTTTTCTACAGATAGAGAGAAAACAACAAACGTGCACAATCCATAATGTCAATATACCGCCATTTGGTACCATAATTCACCGATCGTCATCGCGCCAGCTGCTTTGAGCGGCCCCTCGAAACGACAATCATCTGTACACATTTGCTCGCACCTCCATAGACGCTCAGGTGGCCCGATAAGCTTGAGGAGCGTGACGAGTAGTGTGGGCTTTCGCCAGGCTGTGCAGCACACTGACCAGCAATGAAAGCGTCTTCTGGAGGAAACATGCGCCAATTTTCATCGTCCGAGCCTGCTGGGCTAGAGAGACTAGATTTCGAGCTATGTGGATGACCCGCTTGTGCATAGCTATCCCCCACCTGGCTCGACATCACAACGTTATACATGTTATTAACCTCGCCAAATGGCGTTGGGGTCACGGAACTCGTTGCTTGCGTACTCCTCCGCCGGTCGTCACTACTTTTGCCAGCAATTCCAAACAGCTCTGGAGCTGATCGGGCCATACTCGGCACCATATACTTCGTCCGTTCCTTCAGTCGATGAATATCTCTAAGAATTCCACACATTCCAGACCGGATGTCGTCCAGCTCCTCGTGAATACGTTCTCGCTCATTTTCCTGCACTTCACGTACGTGTGCCATCTGTTGCAGCAGAATGTCTTCGAGATGCCGACGGAACCATTGGTTATCCTGTACGAGCGTCTGCTTTAGCTGACTCATCTCCGTATGAAGGTTGTCTAGCTGCGCAAGTGCCAAATGGATCTGATCAGTCGTCTCTTGTTGCGTACGTCCTGCTGCAGTCTTGACAACCTCATCATCGAGAATCTGTGCCCTGTGCTCGCACACTTCCTCCTTCAGCTGCTCGACCTGTTGCAACTTCTTGCTCAAATTTGCTGCCGTGTACAACCCGTCATTGTCCTCACCATAGTCGGTCCCTTCACAGGGAGAAGGGACTTGACACGCGGTCTCTGCAAGGTCTCCCAGTCGAGAGACCAACCTGTTCATCTCGCGAGCACACTCCTGTCTAAATTTGTGCAACTGCGTCACTGTAATTCCTCGACTGCATTTGATAATGTCAACCTGAGCCGAGCAATTCGCGATCTGCACGAGCGATTCCTGCACCAGCTCCGCATTCTTCACCGAGCGCTCTCGATAGTCTTTCTGCAACGACGCGAGCTCATTCGCCACGGCATTCAGCGCCCCAAGCCCCAGCAGCAGCTGGTGCGTCTCTTCCTCACGCAGCGAGAAACTGCGCTTCAGCGAGGCGACACTCACTCGCAGCTGCTCGTTCTTTGCTGCAATCACTGCAATGTCAGTCGACACATCTCTGTCCAGTAAACTGCCGCCTCTTCCTGCCTCGTTCACTGCACAGCCTGCTGGTTCGTTGCAAAATTGACTTTTTTCCTGGCCTTGAAACCACTTTTTTTGCCCTGCCAAAGTCCAAAAATAAAATGCACAATTGAATAAAAAGCAGAAAAAAGCGGTGGCGACTGCCACGGTTGCAGCACCTACCGCGTCAAGAAACAAGCTGCTTATAATGTTTCTTACCATAGGCAACAGAAGAACATGGTCCCGGTGGAAAAGCTGTCGTGTTCTTCTTGTAATGCGTTTCCAGCTCGCCCGTGGACGCCACGCGCGGCCGCTTATTGGAGTCGTGCGCCACGAATTGCGTCAGCGCACTCGGGTCCCCGAGTCCAGCATCAAGCGGATGGCGTGACTGCTGCTCGATCTTGCGCAGGAGCGCCGTCGCGATCTCGTTCGTCGTCACGGACGCCGCCATGTTTGACGTCCTGAGACACAAAAGTGAAGAAAAACCGTGAAACACGGCGCGGGTCAAGCAGTAACACCACGATATTCGGTACACTTGAAGTTTGTAGGCAAAAAACAGAATTGGAACGATTTGATTGCGCCAATCGTGTTTCAGAGGTGTATGAGCAATCACAGACATCCCGCAGCTGGGCTGTCCCGTCTGCGACACGCGTCACTTGGTTTCCTCACTGGTTCACAGTGCGCAATGGTGCGCAAGAAAAGGAAAGGAGTTGTGAAACAAGCGGCGCAGGCCGTCGAGGGTGGCCACGCAGCGTCGCCACCTGGCGTTGACCTGCGTCAGGTGCTAGAAAATGTGCCCATGAACATCGAGCTCCCTGCCGCGCTCAGTGGCGGTGGTAGCAATAGCTGGAGCGACCTGGCGCAGTGGTACGAGGCCCTGTGTCTGGCGCATCGCAGTGTTTACGCGCAACGGAAGCAACTTCAACATTTCCGATCCAAGTGCAAGTTGCTTATCTCAGATACCGATTCCGCACTCGAATGCGCCATCTGGCGACTCGTGTTCCGTCTCAGTATGCAAGTGGCTACGCAGCCTCTGCGCAAGAACTTGGACTTGATTCTGGCCGTGCTGGCACAGGATAAAGACTCGGCCTCACAGCTGCGCGTCGTCGCAGCAACAGAGCTGCGACTGTTCCTGGACACGTTGTGGGCAGACGCACACACGTTGAAGCCGTTGCCGGTGGAGCACCGCGTGGCGGTACTCGACCAGCTGCTGCACGTGATCGAGTTTCCCTTTCTAGCTCGTGTGTTGGTCGAGAATCCAAGTACTGGCGCTCAGTATGGTGACGCTCAGCATCTACTGCAGTTTGTCACGTGCTGTGCGGACCAATTGGAGGCTCTGGGGGCGCCCATTGTCGAGTACCGTGTAGCAAAGCAAGCGCAGGACGTGGAAGAGGCGGAAGGAGGAGCAGCAGCAGCAGGAGCATCGACTAACGTGGTCTTGGTAGCGTCCGAGCGCTGCGGGCATGCCCTCAAGAGCGTAATTGTGCTGGCAACGATGAAGGACGTGCTGGATCGCCGTTTGGAGCACTGCCACGGACCTAGTCTAGACCTGTTGGTGGCGGCTTTTCTATGTATTCTGAAGCACTGTGTACTGCTGTTACAGACCACCGTGGTGCACAAGGACCTGCTTACGCAAACAGGTCTGGCGTATTGTTTGGTGCTTCGAGTGTTGCTCCGCTTCTCGGTGAACGCTCTGGACGTTTCTGGCTCGGTAACGAAGCTTTTGCTGCAGACAGCCTTTCCGGGGCTGGTTATTGTCAGTACGGGTACGTGTACTAGCTCACCGCTACGAGCACATATTGAAGAGGACATGAAGAGCTTTGTCGGTCTGTCGAGACTTGCAGTGTACCGTGGTTTGCTTAACAGTCTCGCAAATGATGATCTTGCCCTTCCGGCTGTTCAGGTTGGGCTGGAAAATAAAGCTTCCCCGTTGGAACAAACGGTATTAAACGCCATGTTCGTTAAAATCCAGCAATGGTGCGATCAAGAGTCGTACAATACGCGCTTGTATGCGTTCCAAGTGCTGGAGGCGTTTCTGCGTCGAGCAGCGCTGATCTTGCACAAGAAGCAAGCGTGCTCCGCTGCTACTCATGGGTTGTTTGTTTTGTCGGACGAGACTCTGACGAAGCTAACTACGGCTGTGTTGCTGAATTGGGAGCACCCGTCAAAAAAAGTGAACCAGTTTATGGCCGTTATGTTTGCTCACATTGTGGACTATTCCGTGCTTTCTGGTGAATATCAGAAGTGGAGTGAAACGATCTTACCATTTTTGGTGGAGTTGCCATCCACTAGTCGCGCCAAGTACGGGTCATTGACGCTTCTGGTTGAAGTGGCCGGAGCTAAGCCTGTGCTGCAGGCAAGTCCATCGTTGTTATCGTCGCTGCTTTCGGCAGTAGGTCAGAAAGACTACGCCGCCCCGGCAGCAGCAAATCTGTTTGCTCAGATTCTTGACAACCTCAGTCCGGGAAGCAGCAAGAATAGTAAATGCAAACCTGATGACGAGGCTGTGGTTGCGCGACGCGAGCTCTGGCTTGCTGATGTGGTTTGCGTACTTTTATCGAATGATGCAAACCTCCGATCGCGGGTAGCCATGTATGTGATCCCACTTTTGCTAAAGAAGGACCCTGATTGTGTGCCCATCCTGATTAAATGTCTACAAGAGGTCGCTGCAAAGGATCAGGCTGATACAGAGGCTGTCGATATCGCGTTGTGGGCTGAGCTGGTTGTGCTGAAGTTTGCGCGAAAGAAAATAGCACCTGAGAAGCTGACAGGTGTGTCGATGGATCATATTCCGCGCGGTCTTTGCCATGCCGATATGGAAACACGTGGCACAGCTTTTGATGCGTTATGTGCGTCGTCGAAATCAACCAGTATGCCTAGTGACGATGAGTTGCGATGGGTGAAGCATTATCTGGTGGTGAACGGTAAGGAGATCGGTCCTTCTGTTCGCATGAACACGCTGATCGGCCTCAAGACAGTGCTGACTCGCATAAAAGAGACCCTTCGTGTCACGAGAAAAGATGTGACTGAAGAGGCCACAGACAAACGTGACAATGCGGATATGCAAGATAAACGTGTCGCTGCAGTCTCGTTTAAACATTGGATAGAGCGCTTTGTTGTCGCATCGATATACCCTGGTGCACTTCCTCAACGCTTGACGTTGGGTCTAGAGGTTCTTCTCCTGTACATCCAGCTGTTCGGCGTTAGGAATGACGAGGCTGAAGAGCTTGCAGGAAGTTTTTTGCTCACAGGGCATATGGTGACGACCCTCCTCAATATGCTTACGAGCGCTTGGGACTCAGTTCGGTCTCTGGCGTTTACCATCTTGGACTTGTATCCAGACGACCTTCCTGGCTATTCTACGCGAGAAGAACTCCGCACTTTTGTCGACTGGGCTGTTGGTCTTTGCGGTAGTCCTCGTCAGCGCGAAAGTGACGCTGGTGCTATGTTCATTCGGTTGCTGTTCCAGAAGTGTAGTTCAGCCATTCAGCGGTATGGGCTAAAATTCCAGTGTACGCCGGAGCCACAATGCAGTGCTACCGGCGTAAACAGTGGCGATCCGGATGTGGCTTTTGTATTGCAATTGACGCAAGTGATTCTTACACGTGTAGAAGCTCTGAGTCTATCGGAAATACGACAGGGCAAGTCCCCACTTGTGCATGGCTTCTTGCTGTCACTGCATTACGTTCTGGAAAATGTGAGTTTTGAGAAGTATTCTGGTAGCAAAGCTGCGGACTGGTCGCGGGCAATGAAGCAGGTATTCGTGGCCATTCACCAGTCCATGGGTGCATCCCTGGCTGTAGTCGGTGATGCCACTGCCGGCGCTGGCGACGAAAATCTGTCAGCTTCGTTTGCAGGTGTTGTGGGCGAGGTGAGTACAGTGGCTGAAACTTCGAGCTCAGCGTTGCGAGTGGACTGTCGTGGTCATTTAATTGTCGAAGATGGTGGTGATGACGGAGACGATGACGGTGGGAACACGGTACAGCGCGCCGTGGTTGGTAGCTGGCTAGCTGTTCGCGAGTGTGGCGCAATCATCGAATTGCTAATGCGGCGCGTACCGCTCCCGACCTCGAACCCGACGTCGGCTAGCGTTTCTTTGTTCACTATTGACATGGCTCAGCTTGGAGGAGAAACGCTGCTTAACTCGCTGTTTGAACTCAAGCACAAGGGTGCAGTTGCTACGGTATACCAGGCATTTGAAGGTGTTTGTCGCGCGTTTCTTGCTCACGGTGAACAGAGTGCAGTACTTGGGGCCTTGCCAGCGCAATGGGCGGATCGTTTGTTGGACCGTCTGGAGCGATCAGAGCAGCATTTTATTTTGCGTCGTAGCTCAGGCTTTGCTTTCAGTTTTGTCGCAATCCTTCGTGCTGAACCGCGTAACTCGGCAGCCGTCATTTTGCCTAAGGTGATGTCGACGTTGCTACGTCTAGCCGGCAACGATACTGACGCTGTGGATAAATGTGAAACGCACGAGGAGCATCGTTCACAATGGCGTGCTCGTGTGCACGCCCTGAACATTTTGAAACTCATTTGCCAGGACGGAGTATTGGCCGAAGACGTTGCTTGTTACGTTGTGGATATGTTCCAGCTGTCTGTGCGCGGGTTTGAATGTGGGTCATGGGCTGTACGCAACTCATCGATGATGCTTTTCGCTGCAGCCGCCCAGCGTGTCATTGGAGATAAACGCATTGCTGATGGTAAAACTCGCCAACAAGTTGCCTGTGACGACGTGTTCTCGCGCTTTCAGCAGCTGCGTAACTTTCTTGCCCGTGAATTGACTAGGCTGCTCGAAATCGATAGCGAGTCTATTGGCACAAAAGCGGGAGCAGCACCGCCTGGCCTTTACTCATTGCTTCTGTTTCTGAGCCGCCTTCGCCCCAACGACGACGATGACCAGCGTGTAGCTAATGCGCGTGTTTCACCCTGCGATGACGAAAGTGGTTTAGCAAGCTTTGTCCAGCCTATCATGAAATGCGCTTCGCAGTCGACAATGGCGATTCGGCACATGGCTGCGAAGGTCCTGGCTTCTATCGTAAGCGATGCTGATGCTGCACCCGTTTTGTCTATTCTCTGCACGAAAATTCCTCAAGGTGTCGTAAGCGCAAGGGACCGCCTTACTGTCTCGAATGCAATTCCTCACAATTTTGTCCACGGTGTGCTCGCTCAAATCCGTCACCTTACTCGCAAGTACTTGGTTGCCCGTGATGTGCGAAAGAAACTCGCCCTTGTTGCGAGGAGCACACAAAGTGAAATTTTCGAGGTTGTTGTGACCAAGCTGCTTCCATCAACAATGTGGCTGTGGACAGGTCAAGATGCCAGGTCACTGAATGCTGTCATCCGTGCAGAGCTGGTGGCGATTGTGGGTATCATTGTGCAATTCTACGCACAAGACATATCTAGTGCGCTTTCGACGTTGAGGTCGGACTCAACCAAGAAAGCATTCGTTTTACTTGTTGAGCAGATCCAGATCGAAGTTGAGCGCCAGTTACAGCAGCGCTGTGATTCAGATTGGGCTACTGCGGTCCGTTTGACTAACGAACCGGGTATGTACGTACTGGATCGCACACTGGTATCCATTTGGTTCAGCATTCAGGCGATGTCTGCAAACGGTCGGCTGCTAGACCTGATGATAAAGAAAATGCTGGTGTCCCACGTACTCGAAATTCGCAAAAATGCTACAGAGCAGCTTGTGGACAATTTGGTTATCGCGACTTTGGACACGGAATCTATTGCTGAGCTACAAACCATTTTGATCGGTCAGTTTCTTGTAGAGTCACACCCGAAATTGCGAGCCCGACAGTTGCAGCTACTAGTGAGTTGCCAGCTTCACCAAGCCATTGCGATCACGCAGTCTCAGCGATTGGAATTGCAAGTCTATTTGACACGCTTACTTGGCGTCTCTGCAGATATACAAGTTCTTGCACCGACGTTGGAGATGCTCGCTCTCATGGCTCATCAGCAGCCATGCAAAAGTGACGCAGAAATTGCGTTGTATCAGACTCTGTGCGAGGAGATCGAGTTGCGGTCTGACGAAGCCCAGCCCCTGATGCTTCGACAAGCTGCTGCTTCTGCGCTTCATCACAGTGGCCTCCTTCTTTTGCACAACAGGCAAGTCGGCAGTACTGTATGTGCCGACCTAGCACTGGCGGGATGGGCGGGCGCGCTGCGACTGCTCCAAGACGACGATATACATGTAAGAGCTATCGCACGGCATGCTACTGAGAACGTTCTTCGTACTGTTGACACGGCTGACTCGAGTCGCTCGTCGTCAGATGCAACGGTGCTACCTCTTGCGGTAGAGTATGTGGTTTCTTCCTTCGCACGTACTGGACCCGGCGCCATGGCTTTGTCGACGATGTTAATCCAGCTTATCGACGCTCCTATTGTTCTCACTGCATACGTCGGTGCTGCCGGCGCCAAGGCTGTAGACTGGGATAATCTGTACCGCCGAATTTTCGAGTCCGAAAGTAGCAACTACTTTGCTGAGCGTGACGGGCTTGCACAGCACATGGTGTACTACTTATTGACTCGTCCAACTAGCGATAAAGAGTCGATTCGCCTCTTGTGCGAACGGGTATTGGCACTACTTATCAAGGCACTACAAATTTTGAACCAAGAGGGACGATGCACCGAAAAAGAAGCGAGTCGATGGCTTGGCGGTATCACTTACTATTCGGACGTCTTTGCCCCTTTATTTGGTCTTCTTGCGGCGGGTGTAGCCGTCGTGACCTCGATGTCGTACTTATTGACGAACGATCTCCAGTCTCTAGCTTTTCAAGTTCGTGAACTCGCCCAGGAAGCGTGTGACATCTACATTAACGACGATGTCATCCATCCTCTAGTGATGCGCGCGCTGAAACTACTTGCCCGCGGAGACCACTCTATGCCACAGCCAGATGCCATTGAGCCTGTGAGAGAGCTACTATTTTTGACACCGCACTGGATGGCCCTGACCGATTCGGTCAGTAATTAGAGAATTGATACATGTGAACGCATGTCAAGGGAGCGCAATCGAAACAAGACACCACTTTCTCTAGCAATTTGCACTGGTCGTCTCGTTCGGGCACCATAGTTGCACGCTGACTAGGTGGGGTGTAGGGTACAACAAGGCTGAACACCATCCATCCGTTTTGCCGCTCTAGTTGTCAAACTGTGGATTCCGAACGAGCTGCAGGCGCACGACTCAGCTAAGGGACAAGCTGGTCATCGGAAACCTCTAAGAAATGCTACGACGAATTTATGTGTCGGATCGAACTGCAGGACAGCACAAGAGTATGGGGCATGACTTAACGCAGCAAAGAAAGTGGGTGGATGATCACTTACGACGTTGGCTTCATCTGCGTGATTTCTGTTCATCAGCATCATTCGGACCAAAATGTCAGAGTGGCCATTGAACTGGTAGCCAATCATATGGCAGTCATGTTTGCGTTGTCTCTTGAAGTGGCTTCGCTTGATCTTGATGGGACTTAGTCCGGTGGTGATGCTGCCCCTCCACAATATCGTGATGGAAGCAACGAGGGTCATCAATGGGTTTTACCAACGTTATGGATCCTTGCAATCTCCAAAGACAATGCATGTACCGTTCAGGTCCCCAGTGATGTGTCATCCATCGTCTTAAGCGAGAGAGCACGAGTCCAACTAATATCATCATTACATGATCAATCTGTATTCTCAGCTGTTTCCTACATCTTTGTCGGAAAAACTTGGTGGTGCGAAGACGTGTAATTAGTCGTGATCGATGATGGCACCTCACGGTAGTTTGATCGTGTACTGCCACCACCATTTGAGAACGTTTGGATAATCTTCCGACGCGGTCATATCCCGGGGTACATGGATCGATGTTGCGAAGCTAAACAGCCATACCAAAATACTGCGATCGCAGCTGCTGTGCCAAGAAAAAGTCAGTTGCGCAAATTGAGGGAGAGTGCGACAATTTGCTGAGAGTGGAGGAAGGAAGAGGTGCGCACTCATGTCGAAAAACTCTGCACCCATCATCTGGTGCAACATCGCGTACGAAATACCGGCAATCATCCTATTTAGCAGAATTTTTGCATGTCTGTTGATCATGGCTTGCCGCTGTACCACCTGATTAGCTTGTGTATTGCTGTCCTTGCGCTGAGTATATAACGATGTCATCATACTTGTCATTAGTCTGCGTCTTCTCATTGTGCTCTCATTGATAGATTGAATAGCCGAGTGGGGCTGCATGCGGGTGGCTGACCGTCCCATGTCCCGGAGCAAATGGCCTCGAAGGTAATCGGGATCAAAGTGAGCAAGGTGCAATTTAATAACATTCCGCGCCAGGTTATATCGTACACCCATACTTTTATCCACAGTTCAGTCAGTTTTACGACTTAGCGGGTGCTATTTAGATATGTGGTGTGTATTTTGGTAGGCACACCCTGTGTGTGTATCGCGGTCAATCCCGTCAACATCAAAATCAAACATTGACAGCAACAAATACAACAAAAACAAGAAAATTCAATTGCCAACACAAATTATAGTCAAAGGCGCAGCGGCACAAAAACTTTTGAACACGTACTACTGGTCCAGCACTTGATACTGATGATCTCGTCAATTGCTTCGTATCAAGGTTTGCGATTTCGTAGACGTTGAGGGACCTCACATACAAATTACTGCTCTTGGCCACTGCAACAAATAAAATCGCACATATTGGCGTACAAACTTAATCAACGATAGGGGAGCAATGAAACAAGTTTACACAAATGGTTGCGATAACGAGATACATTGGTGTGGTACACGCAGAACGAGATCAGTCTCACTGATAAGGCATACTTCTGTACCACATACGCTAAGCGATTATAACGTACCCTATCAATTACGGTTAGAGGATATCTATCGAAATAGGGTCTTCAAAGAGGCGATGTAGTTTTGATGTGGTACACAAGAATAACTACGATGAGGACCATTCGATAAGCTCCTAGGCGCTAGCTTAGTCGAGACCTCCAATGCAAGCTAATTTGGTAGAGTACAATTTTTTTTGGTAGTCTCGCACGAAAGATGAAGCTTTTGCAAGACTTACGCACCATCACGAACGGATATGATCTGCGTTTAATTTACTTGTAAGCCACTTACGCTTCTGCATGATTTCTATGATTGCATGCATGCAATGACTTTCCATAGTCTCACGGAAAAGTCGATACACTACAAGTCTTCTTCTCAAAGTATCGTGCTCGCCTGATTGATCAGTATTCCTTCCTTAATGTGGAACAGACTCCATGTCGAACAGTCGTAAATAGGGTCGCATAGGATGCATTTCTCGTGCTATGATCTACCTCCTTTTCCGTATGCGCAACCACATTAGAATCAATGCCGAATCAGTAAATAGCTGAAGAAATATAGTTAGTACAGATATCACCATTTCATGGGCGATGTATGTATGGCAAGGTATCGGAAGATATTAGACTTTTTTTACCAGCGACTGCGGCTCGACCGAAGTAGATGTCCAGTACTTGTTTCACCAGTGTTGTCAATTCCAACTTCTCTCGCCCTGCATCCCGCACAATGAAACGATCAGCTTGCTGCGAGCAGTGATTTTTTTAATTTGACGTGGTAAAGAATGAGACGAAATGAACTACCGCTAGTACTCCATAAGCTTCACGAAGAAATTCGTTGGAGGTAGGATGAATGTCCACGTGCTTCCTAACATGTAGAAATGTGAGTGTTTGAGTCTTAGATCCTACAATACGAAGTGGCTGAGCTTACCATCACGTGCGTTCGTCGAAAAATTATGAACATGGGTTTAGCTTTACGCTAGACACACAATAGGGTTGCTCATGTCATTTTCAAGAACCACTTACACGATTCCTTGCGTAATTTTGGTCAGATGCGTAGGCCTAGAAATAGTCACGCTATCGACATACCCGAGCATAAGTTGCTGACAAACGCGTACGACATCAAAGATCGACAAAGCTCAAAGCTGATCCATTTAGACATCGCATGTACTTGCTGCCGCTCGCCAGCAACCCTAGCTAATGAACACTTCTCGAACGATGGATTGACAACCACCTCGACCCAAAATATTTCCGCCAGCAGATCGAGCGCTTATGGTGTTGCTGCCACAGCCCCAGCTCCGAAAGTCGCACCAGAACTAGCAATCGCCTCGGGCTCAATGTCCTTGGACGCGTCGGTGTCACCGTGCGAATCGCGGCCATGGGCCACCTGTCCCTTACCCTTTTCGTTAGCCTTGTCTTCAATTTCATCATCGCTATAATCTATCGTGAAAACACCCTCAAACTTGGCATCCCGACTGGCATCTGTGTCCGCCCCATTCATGTCCAAGTAGTCCGGCTCTTCGAGCGCAGCACGCAGCATCTCGTGTGTTGCCTCGTCGAATTTCTGTTCCAAATCGTCGGTAATTGACCCATGGTCACTGCCCCCATCTTCTGCCGTCGCCGCCTCAGATGATGACCCGCTGTCGTTTTGATTATTCACAGTTCCCGAGGACCGCCGTCTCCACCCCCACTTCTTCGGAATCGACACCTCGGCCAGCTTGCTCCTCATCGAAGTAATTGACTTTCGGGAAAGAGATAGTTGACGTCTACCGCTACGCGCACTGCTCCTGTCGCTGCTGCCGCTGTTAGACAGGGTACTTTCGCTTGTCGAGGTGATACTCGCGTCGCCGTCCCCACCGTTCACAGGCATCGATGTCATTGTAGGCATTGTCTTTTTGCGTCGTGACTTCTTCTGCTTCGGAATCTTTTTCAACGGATCCTCGCCGGTGCGAAGGATTGTGTCGTAACGGCAGTACACGCACTGATCAGTGACGTGGTCCAACAGCTCCTGCGGTGACGAACCAGCGCGATCACGCATGAACGCGTGCCATGACGAGTATCCCCCATCCAGCGTGCTCACAAAACGGAATCCACGCTTTTGGAAAAAAAGCGCGGCCTGGTTAAGGCAGTCAACATCGAGACGAACGGCATCGCGAATGCTTGTTTTAACGTCTTCCGAAGAAACGAGCTCAGGAGGAATGCCAACACCATGACCGACCAACACGACATGAACTTGAGACTTCATTGGGTCGAAAGCTTCCATACTCTTTGCTAGGAGCTCGGGTGAATCAAATACAGACGGGTCGAGAGTGTAAGCCACTGGGATTCGACCGCTCTTCAAATCTCCTGAGCTGCGCAACCCCCGACAGTCCACGACAAAGAAACGAATGTTACTACTTCCCAAATCCTGCTGATGATCACCAGCCTTCTCGCTACCGCCTATGAGCTGTGCGCCCACTTCTTTAACACTTACTGGAAGTGCAAAATAGGCCGATGGCGGATCGTGTTTTTCCGCTGGGTGTTCCCACTGAGTCTTTCCAGTCTTCGTGTGGTACCAGAATATCTTGCCCGCAATCGACCGCGACTCCTTCATGGCCCATTGCGACATATCGACTGCAGTCTCGGTGGCCGACTTCCGGTCCGAGCTTGATGGCGCACTAAGACCACCAGATGACGGTGTACTCGTGCTTCGGTTTCGAAACATAGACTGCATTTTCTCAGCAACCACGCCCGCTTCCGAGCCAAAGGCGATCTCGATCGCCTGACGCGAAGAGCATTTCATGTCGACCGTAGCCTCACGCTGCGAGCACATGTAAGTCTTGGGTGTCTTGCTACGCAGACGTGAGGCCAACAAGCACAAATAACGAACATTCTCCTCATCAGCAAAAGCCTTTGCATCAAACGTCGCGCGAATTTGCGTCTGCACTTCTTCCGTCGACTCACAGCTCAACAGCACGTCTTGTCGCCCAATGATAGCTGCCGTTACAATAAAGAGTCCAAAGAGCGAGTCGCCCGTGAGCAAGTACTGGTCAATCACGTACACGAACGCACTTGGCGCGACAACTTGGTACAAATGGCCAATCAGAAAGTCAGCTGGAAACAACTTGCCCACCTCGCTCCATTCATTGCCACACCATTGATTCAAACAATGCGCAAGGTGTGGTGCATGGTAGCTCAGGAGTTGATCGACCAACTGCTGTCGTTCACGATTCAATGTCTGCGTCTCCTCATCATCTGCACGTCGTATGTTCTCTTCACCAATCGACGACGTCGAGTCCACAGAACTCGAGCGCTCGTGCGCTCTCAATGGCCCAGCAGTCCCAGTTTCATCCCCACTAGCATTGCTCGATCGACGACTACTCGATAACGGTCCTCCACTTAGACTCGCTGTACTGTCGGTTGCATTGCTTCCCGTATCAGCAACAACAAAATGTGGTACAAATGTCGCACAAAACTGGTAGAAGCAGTCGTAGACCGTCGGGAGTGGCATCTGCAGCCCGACAAACGACGCCACGACACGCGCCATACCCGTCACGTAGGCGACACTTTTAGTCGTCAAGAACCACATGAGCAGCACCTCAAGTTCTTGCTGCACCTTATCTCGAGCTGCAGCGTCCATTGGTCCAGGCATCGACGTCGCCACATCCCGACACTCACGGCACAAAAGCGCGTCCCGTGGCAATTTGCCCACACGCTGCAGCGTCCGTTCCAGATGCTGTTCGTGAGCTGCTGCGCCCAGTTGCGAGCGCTTGGAGACGTCGAGCAGGATTTGCCACATTTCGGCACGTAGAGCCTCGCAGGACGGCGGGAAACACGGACAGACACTGGAGAGGACACAGGTCTTGATCTCTTGAGCATTAGGACGACGTGTGATGCGTCGTGGGGCACTAGGAGACGCTGTAAGAGACGAGGACGACAGGGACGACGAGGCATAGAAGAGCTGTTCCAGGTTCTCGGCCACATACTTTCGCTCCTGTGCCGATTTTGACGCCCATCGACGGATGTATCGACGCAGCACGATCTTGCGGAGACTCTCGTGCTGTTTCTGGCGACGCTCGAGCGCTGGGGGCGACGCCATGGACCGAGAGAGACAGGGAAGTCGGGTCGCGTGGCACGTTTGAGGACTGGACTTGAAAACGGACGAACCGCTTTTGGGTACAGAAAGGGGAGAGGAGGCTTGTATTTGAAGGCGATGCGAGTCTGTGTCAGAAACAGGTGAGATAGTGCGAGTTTAGTCAAAACATGCTCAAACACAAGTGGCATCATCGTTAGGACACAAAAAAAAAATAGGCATCTCGTGCGGGTACGAAGCCATTTGAAACATGATGAATGGCTACATTGTTTCGTGCAGGGGCGTGAGATAGTCGTGCGTAGCTGCAAGTGTGTCAATGGGCTGGACCATATCCATGCGAAAGTTAATGGTTCGCTCAAAAGTCCTTGGTGTTGTAGCTGTTGCAGTCATTGTCGAATCGAGTTGAACCTGGTGCTGGAAACGAGTCGACGACGATGAGGATACGGACACGCGACGAGGTTCACATCGGGAAATCATGAGTCGAAGTGACGTATGAAGCACATGTTCGACGCGTTTGTGCTGTTGAGCAAGCGGGAGTTGACGATAGTCTTCAGCACTTATACCGAGCAAAATCTCGACGGTAGGACCTTGACATAGGACGACAGTTGGAGATGTGCTTGACTGACCAATCTCGAGGATGACTGCCATTTCACAAAACATCGGTACGGTGTCTTGAGGCCCCGAAAGTAGCTCGTGGCAGAACTGGCATTGCCATTTTAGTGGACTGGTAGCAGGATGTTGCGTCCGAGTCATCATCTCTACTGGTCGAAAACAATTCTTGTGCGCACAAGTGGTGGAGTGTTCTAGCTCGCACGTTGAGTCGATCGTAAACAGTTGCTCGGTTTCACGATTGTTGTCACTTGGAATGAGCCAGCCAGCGCCTACCACGGTCATTACGACCATCGCTAGCGCGTGTCTTGTCATGACGTCGAAAGGGGATGCAAGCGATGAACGGTCGAGTGTAGTGTTCATGAGACCCAGAGTTGTATTCAGGACCTTGAGCTTGCAGTTGTTGCTAAAGAGCGATTGGTTTCCAAAGATGATTTTCCAGTCGGAGCACAGCGCTATAACGCCAGAAGGCGGCATGTTGTACGCTGTCGTCGAGAAAGCAAATGCAGCTTGAGCTTTTGATGCCGTTGAAGCGAGTGCCATAGCTTCCGCGTTTCGAAAGCGGCGAACTTTGTGTGACCGCAAATCCATCGTCACAAGGCCATCGATAAATACGCTGTGTCCAGGATGCAGACGTAACGCGACCAACGCGTTCTCACCCGTCACCTCGATCGTCAGCTGCCGCTCGGATGAAGCAACACAGACTTGCAGTAGCACGACCAGGTGATACTTTGACATGATCGTGCGATCAAATGGTAGCGGAGATTGCACATTAGCGTTGCCAGCCGTCGAACGGTTCGTTTTGTCGTCGTAGTATGCGTGAAAGAATGCTGCAAGTAGCGGGATTCCGTGTGAAACGTTGATGCTTCGTACATGAGCATACAACGAGAAGTTGTACCATCCCGGCTTTACATCGTCGAGATTCAAAAGAGGGCGCTCCACTTCGCCTTGTCCGTGGAGCTGAATAGCTGTCGCAGGTGCTTTTTTCAATGTGGCGACTTGACATGGCTTGCAAAATAGCGTCGTCGCACTGCCATACTCAAAGAAGTATGTCAACTGTTGTTGAGACAAATACTCGTTCAGGATGTGTACAATCTCTGCATGGCGCTGCACACACAAATGCACGAACGGATGAACGATTGCGAGAATGTCGTTGACGCGAAACAGGCGACTCAGCACAACTTGCTCGTCCCAGAGAACCATCAGATGTAAGCCTTGCGCCAATCGCTGGGTATTTGGTGTGGATCCACCGAGAAGCCGACAATCGGTCTCCTCAACCTCTCCCAGTAGAATTACTTGTCGTTGAACATACAGGGGCGTTTGACACGGCCGAATCGCACCAATGTCAAGCACTCTTACCTTGACCATCAACTGCTGAATTGCAGTCTCGTCTTGAACACCGTTGACCAGCTGATCTACCTGGGCCAACGAAATCGCATCTGCCAGCAACTTCCGGTCAAGCACAAATCTGTCCTCCAGTCGTACACTCAGAAATGAAGTCGGGAGCAGCGCAAGCTCGGCCTGATCACTTTCTTGCTCCATTGCTCTCCCATCTACATCTTTTCTCTCTAAGGCTTTCACATTTGTAAACGCAACCTTACGACCGGCCTGGAAAGGAAATGTCGGCACACTGCACCACTCGCCAGTCAAAGTTGTAAGCCCATTAGCTCTTTCACATGTTACCCGAAGCGTGGATAAAAACTTAGTTTACGCACCAACTGGGTTCGTTTTGCAGCTTATCGTGCAAAAAGTCGATACAGAAGCGGAATCTCTGATGTAAGTACCTGTTCAAGACCGTGCTTAGACAATTGTCGTTGACTTTATTGTCATACAAGAACAGCACTCACATGTGAATTACCGCATCATAACCGTCAGTCATTTCGAGTGTCAGTCGATGGTTTCCATAGCTTAAGACGTTGGCCTGCATAGCTTCCTGCTCGTTTTCTGCAAAGAAATCTTCCAAGTCTTTGGTATCTCGAAATTTCCTCTTTTTGCGTAGCACACTTGCCTCTTGATCAGTATCTCGAGCCACTTTGTGCTCCAATAATGTCGACATCTCCGTCAGCACCACTGCTTGAGTAAGACCATCCGGATACTCTTCAATCAGTCGTACGACATTAGAAAATACCCAATAAAACGGGATACACGGGGCAATTTGAACACGCCCGCCACGCTTCCGGAGCCATAATTCGCGCAACTTCTCTTGTACACACAGCACTTGGCGCTCAATGAAGTCATGCTTGTGCTCAATGGTTTTTGTACTGGAGCAAGTATGTGTTGGCTGCTCTAGCTCTTCAATAGCATTCAGTAGATCCATTAGCACGAGGGACGCTGAGACTTTTGTAATGTTTATTATAGGAGAAACAGATGCGTGGCTGGAAAAGAATGTTGCGCAAATGACTGGAGGAGGTTGGCGAAGGATTAAAGGCGATCGATCAACTGCCTTTTTCATTTTGTTCGAGTGCAGTATGTGATGCGTGCAGGTCAAAATCGTACCCTCGTTTGCCGTCATGTCGAGACACGAATGGAACAAGGTTTTTGGTCTTCAGACCGTACGCAACTCAAATGATCCCTTGGGTAGCACTTCCGTCCATCTTTGTGAAGCTCTAGCACAAGTCTTCTCCCTAGTGATGATGTCTACTCGCGTGGCTAGCGCGAATTGCAGCTCTACTTACTGCTCTATTCTGACAATACGCGAGGGCTATAGCTGCGGAGAACGTGATTGTATACCCGATGCTGGTAGCTGGCAAGAAGCTCTTCCAACTTTTTGTGAATCATAGCGACCTCTTGAAATAATTCCCCTTCAGGTGGGCAAGCTGTCAGTCACGGACCATCAATCAACTTATCAAACGCCCTAGCAACATTGTATAAATTTGAACTTGTCACGTCGATACGAAGACTCAATCCCTTGTTATCACTTAGTAATCTGAGTCGGACATACGTGCTGTGCGGATGCTGTGTAAATGTGAGATAGTACACTGCAAGCTATGTGTTTCGACTGTAAGGTCTGTCGAGGGATTGGCTTTTATCTAAATGACCGATTCAGCGATGTAAACGTACCATTCGACCAGGTCAGCGCCTACGTCGGATATTTTCTCTTCAATAGTTTACCACATAACATCATCGAATCGAAATTGTAGCTGTAAAGAAAATCAGGGCAAGCTATTGCGCTGTACATAACAAGGTGGACGTGAGCATTGCATATTGTATATTCCTGTCAGACGTGCGCCGTCATTTTGACAGAGCAAGACAACAAAGGTTGCGTGCAGTCCTAGCCTACAAATTCCATTGATCTGACACGAACTCGTTAAGAAATCACCGCCCGCAACGTTATCAGAGTGGGGCCCCTTGGATGTTACCAAACTGCCAAACACAAGCAAGACACACTAATTGATCATTTGCTGCATCGTGATAGTACTACAAAGGAAGAGGTGGCGAAAGTCTATGAAACACGAGTTATACTTGGTTTGCATGGATTGCTTACACTTCACGCGTAGGAACTAATGGCATCCAGAGGCGATCGGACGCGCAGCGAGCTCACACGGCCCCGCATACATTAACGTTACTCGAAGTTCGACATTGACAATGGATGACTCGTCTCGCTCACATTTACCCATCTGGATCATGTGGGCACCTCCATCGACCGTTTTGGTCCCGAACCTATGGCCAACATAGAAATGGCGGGCTTCAATCTCTCTAGCTTACTCTTTGTGTCCGATGAAATCGAGCATGAAACATGCAGAGAAATCACGCAGTTTTGGACGGCAAGCATATGAGGCAAAGACATGGCCATCGTTTATCGACAGCAGGAAAATGATCAAGCACGGAATTAACCTGCAATACTCCTTATGTATCATGCATGACATCGGCTATTTGCTTGTGACTCTACGACGGAATGGGAGCAACTCAGTGCTTTTGTGTTTGAAGTGGCACCTACTTCTACTCGTTGCGCCATTTTGTTAGTCCTGCGTGATCACAAGCAAGCTGGTACTTTGGTACGCACACGAGTAGCCTTAGGAAGTTGCACGCACACAAACCAAAGTGGGGAAAGTGCGAACGCTTTCCACACGGGAAGCCATGATGCAATCGATAGAATCTTCGACCGCTGTATGCGGGTGCGATCAAGCATACGAATCTACGCGGCATTACCTACCAAGATAGATAAGTTGCAACGTTGTGACTGTGCATAGGTTGGTTCCTATCTGCCGACTAAAAGGTGAGGCCATTTGACCACGCAGTTGCTTGGATATCCGCCTACCCTAATTTTCCAGGAGCTGTCGTAAGAAGTAAACATGCTTGGGACGTTGTCACGTATGCACAACCGTTAATGACATCCCGACAACTTCCTGGTGTGCACAGAATGGATATTATAGCCTCATCAAATACTTCCAGTGGCCTCACCTGATAGCAACACAAGCTTCACGTTGCTTTGTCATTGAGAGCCGCTGCAAATATCGAAACTTTCATGTCGGGTATAACTGGCATGAGTCTGTTCATCCTAGATCTTTGGCGACCAGCGTCTTTCCGGTATTTCTCAAATATTTTACAGTTGGATGTCTTTAACGGCTGCAAGCAGAGCACACTCCATGCAGAAGCTTTGATCAGTTTTTAATTTACCTTCGTCCTGACAAGACTAGTGAACACGATCAGGCTATGTTAGCGTCCTCTTTTCCTGTGCCGTGGAGAGATGAAACTACTCGGGGGCTGCACGGAGTGGTCAATGTTCAGCACTCAGACTTCAATGAGAAAGACAGCGAGGAGATACTTGTGCGAGATGTGATTCAAATCTTGAACAAGAAACTGGAAAGCGCGTCAAGTGGAACGAAATTGGATGAGGTTACCCGTATCATGTTGCATGGTGTGCGATTGAGCAATGACATTCCATTGAACCGATTTATTCCTGGACTATCAGGAAGTAGTCCACGCTTTGTTGCAACGACGCACACGCGGACACGAGGCCCCACTATTACAATCTTTGTTGTGACTCTGAGCGGGAAGTGTATTTCTATTGATTGTTCACCAACGGACGCCGTGCACTACGCCAAGTCAAAAATTGAGGACAAGGAAGGCATGCCACGTGAATCCCAATGCCTTGTATATGCTGGCAAGCAACTAAAAGACCACCATCCGCTATCGTATTACAATGTCAAAGACAAATGCACGCTGCGTATGAAATGGACACTTCGTGGCGGATTTGCTGGTCGCTTTTCTACACCTCGTACCTTCGCCGATGTCTCTGATGGATCGCTTATTACTGCGTATGAGTTTTCGTCTGACGCCCCCGAGTGGCGTGTCTGTAGTAGAGGTCTAAACATTGAAGGTCGGTGTAAGAATCCCGACTGTCGCGCGTTCCGACGTATGATCATTGACCGCAAGAAATTTGAGCTTTTCAATCTCATTGAAGATGACGACGTCCGATGCCCAATTTGTCATTGGAAAGTGGATCCTGTTGCTTGCGGTCTATACGACTGCTGCTGGCGTTATGAAGGTATCAAAGAAAGCGATGGCGTGTCGATGTGCTCGACGTGGAAGGATGCTCAAGGATACGTGTACCACCGCTTTGATTGTGATGAGAACGGAGGAACTGTCGAATGGGAGAGTCTACTGATAACAGTGAAGCCAAGAGATGATGCCGAGAGTGCTAAGCTGCTAGTATCAATGGTCTCAGCTGTCGTCAGACCCAGTGACATATGCACGATTTGCTGGTCCCCCTTCAGCTCATCGCGCAAAGATTCGCACAAAGCGTCGCGCTGTGGCCACACTTTCCATCGCGACTGCTCACAGAAGTGGACCAAGTGGTGCAAGCGCAACAATACCCGGTTCAGCTGCCCAATCTGCCGCAAAACGGAATGATTGCCCCAATGTAAAACGATGCGGTGATCCACAAGAAGTTGTCGTACAACCACGTCATTTTGGTTTTTTTAGTTATTGAGTTCGATGTGTAGCTCGCAGTTGTTGTTTGTTTCGTCGATTTTAGTCCGAGCAATGCGTACTTTGCGGGCGCTAAATAACATACATGGTGATCACCCCACATCTTGGTTTTGAGATCCGAAAAGGTCAAGCTTTCAGTGACTGGGCAAAAAGTGGATACCATGCTTTTCAAAAGTAAAGGTAATCTTTCTTTATAGTCCAAACTTGATTATATTTACAAAAGTTGTATGCTAAAGTCTCTCACCACTTATTGCGCGCATTTATCGTTGATAGAACCGCTAGAGCTGGCTAATATGATGAATTAAAGAGGCTAACCGGTGAATATTTCTGAATATTACTCCTTGTAGTAATATTCACGAGCGTCATCAATCTTTACGATAACATTATGACAACACGTATCAAGAATTTATTAAATGTAATAGGCTCTCACCACAACACATCAAAAACCTAGAATTAGTGGTCACTAAATCACCGTCACGTTGATCTGGTCACCGTTAGACCATGTTAGGTACAGAGAGCACTTGCATTGGTCTGATCCTTTCATTTCTGAATTCAACGCAAGGTGACTCCGTGTAATGTACAGCAAAAGCTGCTGAGAAGGCATATTGGCGCGTTAACGCAGATGCTTTATGGATGCCCAGCCTTTTGAATTATACGATGCTTCATCTCCTGTCCTTTTTTTACTATTTTTGCAGCACTAGTTACTGCGGAGGCAGGTGGTGTGTCACCACGTGATATTAATTATCAAGGTGCATAATTAGAACCTATCGATACGGGGAAGTCGGTCAGTGAATTCGACTCGAAGAAGACACCTAGGTCACCAGAGTATCAAAGGGTGAACGAGTACTAGCCTACAAATTGGACTCGAGTGGATGATCAGGCTCATGGTCAATACAAGAGCCTGTTAAGTTCGAGTGATGAGCATTCTGACTCACCCCTGCGCTTGCTCCTGCGCATTCGCCTTCTAGTGAATGTGGTGATGACTTGAGACGTCGTGATGATAATTTTAGTGGTCCCACACTTCCGTTGGTTCCGCGCAGGAGGCACGAGACGGCAACGTACTGCATCTAGCATCTGGACATTAGCCTTAAATCTTAATAAAATGTCTTTTGAAGGACCTTTCAGGCGAGACATGTAACGGGGCACCCTGAAGCTTGTACTGGTGACAGTACAAGCTACTTATTCTGATGACAGAATAAGGCGGTGCCTCGTAACTTCACGTACACTCGTACGTGCAGAGGAAGACGGTAAGAAGAAGCGAGTACTTGGTTAAAGTAAAAAGTAGAAGTGTATTTATAATAGTTAATGTCTGCAATAAATCACTATTTATCTTCATCTAACTATGTCTAAATACAAATGTGTAAATCAGTTATCTGCTCACCACTCATTGCGTGCGTCTGTCGTGGCGCGTCTTCGTTGGTTGATATAATGGCCTATATCAACCAATTAGGAACTACCTGTAAGTGCAACAGAATATTTGTCCTTATGACAAAATTCTGAGAATATAACTCTTACAGTTATATTCTATTAACAATTTCTTATAAATTGTTATGTAACGATTCACCCCGTTACATCACCCCCCCCTTAACCATCAGTCACTTTAGTGACTGATTGACTAAATGGATACTCGTCCCAAATCATTTGGGACAGGGTTTGCACTTGTTGGTCCGCGTCCACTTTCCAACATCTCATCGCATGGTTAACAAGCCCATGCGATGCGCGAGCAAGGCCGCCGAGAGCGCGTCTGCACGTCTCTGTGCGGACGCCGAAGCAGAAACAACAGCAACTGATGTCCCATCGGTTGCTGAAGCGACTCAGCCTGTGTCACCTGGTGATGCAGGCGCTGGTCATGAAGACACTCGTGTCTTCACAGAGTACGAGCTCGGTGTCTCGTACTCTCCTGATACGGATGACGGATCCGTATCGACGGCGATCGAATCCAAGCCGCCTGCCAAGCGTGGCATGGACGATGCTTTGCGTCGCAGCATCTTCGGTTCATCTGATGAATCAGATGAACCATCGCCGAAGCGAAGGCGCTCGAGGTCGCGAGACTCGGGCGCTAATAGTGGTGTCGGTTCTCCAATGGACACCACTTCACAGCGAGGTGCCAGTACTTCTGTCGGCACGTCGCAGGAAGAGCGGGACCGCAATGTCTTGCGTCTCGCTCCAGAAAAGAAGGCATGGATGCCTCCGAAATCCGTCATGGATCACTTGTCGGCGACGAAGAGTGATCGTTATCGAACACGATTGTTCGATTCGTCAAGGATCCATCACCTTGACCCCAGCGCGAAAAACTATCGCGCTGAACACGAATTCTTCATCGATGCTTTCTTCAAACATCGATGGTACAGTGGGAATCACAAACGTGATGGTCCCTCACTACTTCAGGCGTGGAACGCCTACATCCATAACCTCGAGGATGTAGGTCGTGACGCTTGGAACGACAAACTTATCAAAGCTCGTGATAAGTTTGAAAAGCGAACCCCTACAGGTGCACGCTACAAGCTGCATCGTCTGTCAAGGGAGAAAGGATTACCCTGCCTCTCTTGGGGAGACCCGTGCCCATGTTGTGTGAACAACTCTGCGCGAGCACCTAAGGAGGCTTACCTCCTTACCAGCCCGTGGTGGCGCGTACGTGTCTCTACTGAGATGTACGAAGGGATTGACAACCTGAAATCCCTTTACGACCGTGCCGGGAAGACTTTCTCCGGCGGTCCTTCTGCGGCACAGGATGTGCCGCGTCGTTCTGCTCAACCAGACCCAGTACGTCGTTCATCAGTCGGGAGCGGGGCTCCCAAGAATCCCAGGACGGGGGATAGCCGCGCCACCGGACGAGATAACTCGTCCGACGTCCGTTCACGTCGCGGTGGTTCAACAGCTGCTCAACTAGATAGCGCTGGCCACCGCGAGAGTCCTCTAATGGAGGTGGAGGAGGAGGAAAGACGCATTACACGATCATGTGGATCGGTCTGTTCCCGAGAGCTTCTTTGATCGCGTAACGCAAGGGTTACGCGACGATCTCGAGCATGAGCGGAATAGGCGTCTCCAAATGGCGGACACTGCCTCGAAGCATCGAGCTGAGTTTGCCTTTGCTCAGCTCGAGAACGAGAGATCTCTGACATCTCTTCGTGACGAGCTAAGGGTAGCTCGTGGGATTGTTGATCGGTCTCGGGCTGAGATAACTGCTCTTCAGACCCTTGTTGATGCCCACCATCGGGAGCACAAGGCTCTCTGCGAGATGCTTGAGCGCAAGGGCGTTCTTCATCGGAAGAAGCAGCGTACTGATGGTACGGCTTAAGCCGACCAACGTAAAACGTGGGATGCGTTCGCATCTTACGTCGTAACTCGATCGTGTATGCATTGCCTAGGCGGTGCAATACACGAAATGGGCCAATGTACTTGGGTAGTAGTTTACTGCTACCCAAGTTAGTCACTACATGCTTTGGTAGATTAACCGTAGACAGTAGGACTAAGTCACCTTCATTGAATAAAAGAGTGTTTGCCCTTCCATTCTTGTCAGCGTTTTGCTTTTGCTCATCCACCGCTTCGGCGATGGAGTCTTGCACAAAACGGACTACCGTTTCCCGAGCCAGTATGAACTCACCTGATGACTAGTTAGCTTCAGTGTGCTGTGAGCGCACTGCAGCAACATCAACCTTTTCTTCAGTGAGGGCTTCCGCACTCTCACTGGCATCATCTTCTTCGATATCGATGTTATCGATATCGGAATCAAACGCAATGACTTCTTCGTCAGAGCGTGATGAGCGGGAACCAATTTGGTTTTTGCTCGCGCGAGTCTCCCCCCCCCTTAAACCAGAGTTACACTTTAGTAAGGTGGGTACACGCGGATGGCGCAAGCCATTCACGTAAAACGGTGTATGTGTCGTGGACACATGCACCGAGTTGTTGATGGCAAACTCTACCATTGGCAAAAACTCACTCCAACTCTTAAAGGAGTGTACGTATCCTCGAAGTATCTCTCCTAGGACACGATTGGCTCGTTCCGTCTGACCATCTGACTCTGGATGATCAGATGTTGACATCTTCAAGCGCGTTCCGAGTGATTTGAACACGGAATGCCAGAAATCAGCAGTGAATCGTGGATCTCTGTCTGATACGAGTTCACGGGGCAACCCATGAAGTCGGAAGATGGTGTCGATAAAGACACAAGCACAGCCACTTGCCGTGATTGTCTCTGGTACAGCTACAAGGTGTACCATTTTGCTGAATCTGTCAACAAATACGAGAATACCCGTATTCCCGCGTGCGTCTTTGGGTAACCCGAAGACGAAATCCATTGAGATGGATTCCCAGCACTCAGACGGAACCGGTAAAGGCTGTAAAGGTGCACGCAGTGAAGGACTTGACTTCACTCGTTGGCAGACTTCGCATGCGCGAACATACTTTCGCACAAACTGATACTGGCGGGGCCAGTAAAAGTCTCGACTTACCGTGAGACATGTTTTCTCTCGGCCACGATGTCCTCCTATAGGAGCATCGTGATACTCGAACATGATCCGCAAACGCAGATCAGTATCATCTGGAATGACAACACGTGGTGTGTCACCAGAAACGGCTGTATAATACAGTAAACCGTTACGAGTAGTGTATCGATCTGATGCAGATCGATACGCAGACGACAATCGTTTCAACAATTCTCGAGATGGTTGGGAGAGATGTGACAACAACTTCACTATCTCACCATCTTGGGCGTATGCCCGCCTCACATCATCATACAACGTTGAAGATGGTACTGAGGACGTCATAACCGCAACAGTGACTGTCTCACTGTTGGGTTTCACGACTGGTTCAAAGTCGGGACGACGTGAGATTGCATCAGCGACGACGTTAAGTCGTCCTGGTTTGTACTCGACCGTAAAGTTGTATTCCGCAAAGAATGACAACCACCGCGCCATTCGTTGTGAAAGGTTCGGGCTGTTCACTGCCGTGCGTAATGACGCATGGTCAGTGTAAACAACGAAGGGTCTATCTCCTAATAGATAGACTCTGAACTTCGCGAGTGCATACTTCATGGCAAGGAGTTCCTTGTCATGCACTGGATAGTTCCGCTCAGCTGGTTGCAGCTGACGCGACTGATAGCAGACGACGCGTTCAACGCCTTCAAGATCGTACTGCATTAGTGCACAGCCGATTGCGAAATCGCTGGCATCACAGACCACATGAAATGGCCTGTCCTGATCGGCTATTGCTAGGACTGGGGATTGTATCAAGCTCTGCTTGATACCCTCAAAGGAGCGTTTACATTCAGCGTTCCATAACCACCTCTCGTTCTTTTTCAACAAACGAGAGAGGTGCACAGTCATCTCGGCGTAATTGCGTGAATACTTATGCAAATACGCCGCTAGCCCAAGGAATTTTCAAAGACCTTTGACATCGACCGGCACAGGCCAGCGGTGATCGCCTTGATCTTTTCGGGATCAGGACGTACACCGTTCTTACCAACGATGCACCCAAGAAGTGGTATTTCGCTTGCTGCAAATATACACTTCTTGAGGTTAGCATACAATTGATGCTTTCGCATGATTGTAAGAACTTGTCGGACGTGGTACCTGTGAACCTCAACGTCCGACTTTCCATCCATAGCTCGACTATGGATGAATACGTCATCGAAATAACTCGGCGCGAATTCTCGTACTGGTCTCAACAGATGTGATACACATCTGTTGAACGTGGCAGGAGCATTACTGAGCCCTTGTGGCATTACTAGCCATTCCCAGAGCATGCCGCTAGGCGTGCTAACTGCGGTATAGGGTATATCCCGTTCCCGCATAAGGATTTGATAGAAGCCATCCATCAAATCCATGGACGAAAAGATGGTACTCTTTGACATACCATCAATGATTACGTCCTTCCTCGGTATCGGCGTCTGAGCCGGTACCGTTGCAGCGTTCAATTTGTTGAACGCGTGCACTATCCGCCACCCTCCTGTTGCTTTTCGCACACAGAAGGTCGGAGAGCTATGTGGGGAAGTTGATTCCCTCACATGGCCCGCTGCTAAACGATCGGCAAAGAACTTGTCGATCGCAAGTACTTGTTCACGAGGCAGTGGCCACTGCTTCATGACACAGTACTTCGAGCCTGGTTTAAGCTCGACTTCGTGTCGAATACCTTTATCCTTCGGTAATTCGCACGGAACAGTTTCAGGGAATACATCCTTGAATTCAACCAAATCTTCATAGAGAGGATTTTCCTTGAGCGATTCCCATGATTGGGAGTCATGTCGCTTAACTCGTGTCTTTTCATCGAGGACACTCTCGTCCATCGATGAACTACTGAGAACTCTCTCGTTCTCAGTAAACACTGTTGCTGACCTTATGTCGGTTACACACTCGTCGTCAGCGACGAGTATGCAGATCTGCTTGACTTTGCCACTACGCAGATCACACAAGAACCTTTTATGTTCGAGCGTTGGCAACTGAGTGATCTTCGAAGTTAACTTCGGAGGCGCAATCAGATCAAGTGTATAAGCGCCTACGCTTGATCCGTTATTGACTATGACATTCAATGTCTCTGTCATTTCCTGGGGACTTATTCCCTCAGGCTTCGAAGGACTTATTCCTTCGTCTTCCCGGGGACTTATTCCCGCGGGTTTCGGGGAACTTATTTCCGCCGTAATTGTAATCTTGGGACTTATTCCCTTTACTTCCTCTAGCTGGGGTTGCGCAACCACAGCGAGATCCTCTACGAAAGACTCTCCAGTCGATCTAGGATTATCGTTTCGCTTAACCTGAGCGATCGATTGTTTCTCTTCTAGATGTTCCCCTCCAGGGATACATCTTTGTCCCAGTCCACCCGACTTATTCGAGTGGTGGACCTTCGGCGCAGCTTGTGTTTCCTCACAGCCGCCGGAACTTTGCTCCGAAGTGTAACCGTTTGGTACACTAAGGTTTTGTGCAGTCGTACTAACGACCGTACCACAAGTGAGGCCATCGCACTCACTCGTAGTACATCCACACGCTTGTGGACGCTCCAAAACGTTCATCAGATGGCCATCTGATGAACAAGCGGCAGGCATCGTTACTGTCCGATGTTGCCAGTTTACCCGTGGTTCGTACCTTCTGAGCCACGGTATTCCAAGGATGACATCAAATTTGTCATCCAAATCCAATACGATAAAGTCATCGTCATATTGGGTATCTTCTAGCGTATAGCGAATCTTCACTATACGCTTCATGACGGTTACGGATGCGCCTGTCGCAAGACGTACCGTCATCCTCGTAGGAGGTGTGTCACATTCACTGAACTTAAAGTGACCATCTTCTAGCGATTGGCGTCGCACAAAATTGTTGAACGCCCCACAATCGACTAGAGCTCGAAGGGAAAACTTATTCGTCACTTCGAGTTTCAAGGTAATGAGTGAGATCTCATTACCTAGAGCAGCAACGCACAACGTCTGTGTGTTGGGAGCAACCTTCATCAAGAGGCCTACAAATTCTCTTGACGTTGCTAGATCAGTAGGGTGCTCCGCACCTACTGATCCTGCCCGTTTTTTGACGGTCCATCCCGTTGTTGCGTCTTTGCACCAACTGCGGACCCTCGTCCCCGCCCCTTTCTCATGGGTGGACGGTCACTACGCCCAGTGTTGCGAGACAATGGACGAGGGGCACTACACTCGTAAGCGTAGTGTCCTATCTTCTGACATCTGTTGCATCTCTGCAACTTCTTGTAGTCTGTAGAGCGAGCCTTCTCGCTCTCTACATAACAGAGTTCCATCGGCTCTGGACCTCCGTTGTCATATCGTCTCGGTTGACGATATGATGTCAAGCTGGCGCGAGCCTGTCTCAGACTGAAGTCTTCCTGCTCCGCAATGGAAATGGCTTGTTCTAGTGAATCTAGTTCAAGCCGGAACAGGTGAGTCTTGACGGGACCGTCCGCAAGACCCTGCATGAACACCGAAACCAACTTATGTTCATCCACCGGGTTGGAACTTATACAACTCGTGAGATGTCGTGCATTTTGTGCGTAAGCGTGCATATCACGCTTACTCTGTCTGAGCTTCAATAGTTCAGTTCGAGCTCTGAACTCAGCTCTAGGCGGTTCAAACGTTTGTCTGAGCCGCGACTTGAAGACTTCAAACGACCCAAACGCATTTGGGTCGTGCAGCTTGAGCCCCAGTGCCCAAGTCTTGGCACGTCCTGCCAGATTTGACTGGGCAAATGCAACTTGCATTTCCCCGTCGTCGATGCGACGCGCCCTTATGGCGTCATTCAATTCGACGAACCATCTCAAGAGGGAGTCTTCTTCGACCCCCCATACTTGGAGATGTCAATCTTCAAAGTCTCGGGTCGACGCGAGTGCATCGACCCGCCAGCAGCAGCCTGCTGCTGTCTCAACAGTTCAAACTGTTGAGCACCCTGTTCTCTCAACAGCTCTGATTGTTGAGAACCTTGTTGGTGAAGCAAGGCTACTTTCTTGCGTTCTGCGTCAAGTTCATTTTGAATGAACTTGGCGATAGTAGCATGTTGGGCATCTCTATTGAGAGCCTCTAGCATGACGCTAACAGCATGGATGCCCATGTTTGAACCCATCCATTCAACCGCATCCCATTCGACATCGCTCAAATGGGAGTAGCCGTCACGCGTAGCGTGAAAGCTTTGGTCATCTTCATCATCCAACATATTCATGTTAGATGTGAACGTGGTCCTTGGACGGACTACGAAGTGCTACCAGGTGCAACGGGGCACCCTAAAGCTTGTACTGGTGACAATACAAGCTACTTATTCTGATGACAGAATAAGGCGGTGCCTCGTAACTTCACGTACACTGGTACGTGCAGAGGAAGACGGTAAGAAGAAGCGAGTACTTGGTTAAAGTAAAAAGTAGAAGTGTATTTATAATAGTTAATGTCTGCAATAAATCACTATTTATCTTCATCTAACTATGTCTAAATACAAATGTGTAAATCAACTATCTGCTCACCACTCATTGCGTGCGTCTGTCGTGGCGCGTCTTCGTTGGTTGATATAATGGCCTATATCAACCAATTAGGAACTACCTGTAAGTGCAACAGAATATTTGTCCTTATGACAATATTCTGAGAATATAACTCTTACAGTTATATTCTATTAACAATTTCTTATAAATTGTTATGCAACGATTCACCCCGTTACAATTAGCCTTGTAAAGGCGCTTGCTCTTGTTTAGCTAGTAGTGAATAGCTAGCGTGTGATTCTGTGAATCGCAATCCCTTTGCAACCGGGATTGTTGAGCTTGTACGCATATAAGACTGTACGTAGTTGTTTGTTTTTTTATAACTAAGAGACTTTTTAAGTCTACACTTCTTCTGTGAAGGAGTGCTTAGTAGTACTGCTACAGACGTCACATACGCTGTTCGTCGGTGAGCAGTAACAATTTTTGTCTTTCCAGTTACAATTATTATAGATTAGGTCATGGTAATCCAATCTGGTGTTTGTGTCCTCACAACAAAGCGTGGATTACTTCCTGCGAGTTCACAAATAACACGGCTCAATGGAATGTCGTTGTTTAGCCGCACACCAAGCAACACGATACGTGTCACCTCTCTATCCTCATTTGACGAGCTTGTCCGTTTCTTGTTTAATATATCCACCACATCTCGCACAAGCATTTCCTCGTTGTCCGTCTTGCTAAACTTGGACCTTTGGACATTAATTACTCGATCAGCCCTCGATCAGACAAAGAACTCCACACACAAGAGGAAAAGCTTACGGTAACATCGATCAGGGGTCTTTTGCCGATCTTGTCAGATAAAAGATGATTTGGTTCACATATCGAGATGTCTGCATGGAGTCTGCGCTGCTATTGTTAGGCGTGTCCAACTATCGAAGGTGTAAGAGTTCCTGGAATAGCGCTAGTTCCGAAACTTTGCCATACATACGCTCATTTTGCAAAAACGATCGGTTGGTCCCATCATCACCGTTGCCAGCAACTACCTGATTACAAATTGTATGGGGTTAGCACGACGTGTCGATCTATGACCAGCATGAAGCTCAGCGATTTGTATTTATTACCTGACCTACCTGACTTTAGTTGGTTGAGGAAGTGGTAAGTGCCACTCCTGTAACTGCGTTAATGACTGAATGAGCATCAACGAGACCAGATCAGGTCACTTTGTCGTCATCATCGCTGAACAGATGGTACGTATTCCATCTAGTTCCCATCTCACGTGATGAAATCGAGATGAAATATTTCGAGCTTTTAAGCACAGCTACTGATTGCATATATAGGCCCGTCCTTATTCTGGCGCTCCGGTCATACAAAGTTAGCTCTCTTTACAATGGGTCATGTCACATCGATGGCTATCCTAGCCGACTATAATTGTGCGCCAATTTCGCTCAGTTGAGGCCCCATATCACGCTCGTCAACCAGAAAGGTGCGGTAGTCACTTTCGAGTTCGTGAGACTTTAACTAGTGGAGACGTTAGCAAAACTTGATAGCATACTACTACTAGACGCGCCAAAACGATAGCGCATACATGCCTTAATACCTGCTACAATTTTGCTTCGAGTTTACGTTTGCGGTGAATAGAAGAAATCCAACGTTAAGAACGATCACTGACTGTTGACTTAAGTTTATGCTATTTCAAGTCTTAGTAATGATCAGTCATTTCATCTTTGAGGATGGCAAAGTCTTGGCAAGCACTACAAAAGTTTCGATTGCTCGTTCGAGCCCCACGCAGGGATACGATATTTACCATGCAACTACAGCGTGTAACAAGCTTAAGAGTTTCCGCTAGGAATACCATAGGCTCACACGCAAGGGACAGAAGCTTTTCGACAAAGCCGGTACTAAGTGGACGTTGCATACACCGATTACGGCCTCTCACAAGCAGTTGGCTTTTGCCCGTCCAAGCTCTGCCAGAGTCAAAATCGACGTAACGTCGGGGTGAAAGACTTGTCATAAGAGCAAGAATGCGAAGTGAATTGTTTTTTTATCGTGCGGAGCAATAAGGGAGGACGAGATTGTGCGGAAGGTGACAGGAGTGGCCTGGGATGTGAAAGAAGCTGGCAGATTTCCAAATAACGACACATCACGGCATCACATTATGCGGAGACCTCGTGAAAAGTATACGAGCGTACTACCGTCACGTCACCAGAAAATGCAACGATAAGGCCCTAAGTGTGCAATCTTAACTGTTTCATCCGAAGTAGTTGCCGTGATAAGTAAGGTGTGAGCAGTCTATGATGTCTATGGTGTAGCAGATTCGACCATCACAAAAACGCGAGATACGATCGGACTCAGCATGGTATTCTTGGATGTTGACAGCCACCACCGGGAAAGAGCAGAGAAGTGTGCAGCAACCTTTTTGGTTGCAAGAGTGACTACCGACAAACCGTCATGCGAACGAGACAGTGACCACCAGCAAATGCGATATCAATCCATCAGATCATTACAAGAATTGTCGTCCTCAACGGGAAGATTTACGAGTCGAGCTATAGTCATACATCGTGTTGCATATCAGCAAAAGTAATTCCCCCAGCCACCTTTTAGCTCGAATAGTTGTCGTAGCACTTGTTAAGAAAGCTTGCACCTCGCACATCACTATACCAGGAGTACGTACACAGCAAAGCAGGCGACAGCCCAACGGCACCGCTGACAACGCGGCAATCCACAAACTGCCGTGTACATACCTGCAGACGCACTGCACGCGGACGATCGACTTAACAACAATCTGCATCTCTGACTCTCGCAAAGCACTCTCCAAATCACATCAGCAGGTTTTCTTATCTCGTTAATAGCAATATCATCCTTCACCCGATCGCGTATTCTACTTTCCATCCTCTGTAGTCCTTTTTTCGACTACAACTCCGAGCACAGACGTCAACGAAAAGACGTATCGAGACCAAACGGTCATCAGGCAATCTCCAACCGCGGACTTCACACTGCTAGGTATCATCACCCAACGCGTGGAATCCTCTGCAGCTGCCAGGTACACCACTGTACTGATGGTCTTCCTACTTGCCAGTCTTCTTGATCTGAATCACAATCCCGAGACAAAAGACGACGAGCATGGCAGCCAAGTAGCCCCACCACGCCTTCGGCACGTCGTACACAAAGTCTCCCTTCTCGTCTTTGTGACGGTAGTTCTGAATACCCGTGAGCTCTGGAAAGTCACCAATAAAGTAGCCCACGCCATTGACCAGCACGACCGAGCCAACAAGAGCGGTCGCCACAATAATTGCAAGCCGCTCGACCTTGTACGCAATGATCCCGCAAATGAGACCAATAACAATGGCCATAATAAGCAATCCCGAAGACGGATCGTTCGGGTAGAGGCGGTACCCGAACGAAGCATTAAGCAGCGTGGCTAGGAACACGCCCCCCGCAGCTCCAATTAGGAAGACCCCGAGATTGTAGATAAAGACCACGAGCGAGCCAAGAACGACACCGCCGATCACAAAGGCGATCCAGAACGCCAAGCGCTCGTACGACTGACCGTCAACAATGTACAGGACAATGGACGAGACGATGAAGCCACCGACAAGGAAGCCACAGACAAACATCGCGGGCCGCAGGAGTTTGTAGCCACATGTGGTCAAGGCGAGTCCACAGATAATGGCAATAGCAGCAGCAATGGCCGGACCCACTTCAATGCCGTGGGAGATATCCCCCACAATACCAGTAGTGGTGCTGGTGCTGGTGCCGGTGTGGGTGTTAGCGTCTTGTACAGCGACAGTATGGGCATAGCCGCCATCGGTGCTGTAGCCGTAATTGCCTCGTAGAGCGCCACTGTTGTCGCTGTCATCGTCGTCTGAATAGGACAAGACCATGGACATGTAGAGTGGGACCATGGACAAGTACAGAAGCATCGGCAGCACTTGAGGCTGCGACGGGAACCGGAGCATGAGAAAGTCGGAGAATATGCGGGAGACGTGTCACACGTGGGGTGTGCGCTAGGTGGCAAATTTGAAAGTGAGTAACGGGGAGCTGGTCGGGAGTCGACTGGACTGAATAGTTGGACAGTCGAGGCTGGTTAAATGAATATCGCCCGGAAACCACCTACTGTTATTAGTTTGAAGGATTTATGCATTAAGCGAGGGATGAGTTGTAAGAAGGAATGAACGAATCACGCATCGATTGGGTGACGATTATGTAGCCTACAGTTGCATTGTGTTGACCGTTTGTAATTGTAGGTCTCGATTTACATTGATCGGGAAGTCGTGCTTGATTGGAGCGAGAATCAGCTCTGTTGATCGATTTCGATGGGACGTCACCTCACGTGTACTTATTGCACGTACTAAGGTGAAAGCAGAGAAAAACAGTCAAGACATTCTATTTCTGATACATTTGAGTGGAAGTGTAGCAGGTCAACTATTAATGACATTCGGAGACAATGCACATTACCACCCAAAAACGATCTTGTGCAGTTTACAAGCACCATTTACTTCAATTATTGTCGTGACGATCAGAGTGCACTTACCAGATATACTGCGTGTAATGGGAAGGCTAAACGTTGTATAGTTGCAGACAAAATTTTGCTCAGCACTACGCATCCTGGACCACGCTTTTGATTTGATTCCAGTTTCGAGGTAGATTTTCCCGACGTGTCAGCCTGAGCTTGTTTCCATTTTAAGACTAATTAAGAGAGCTTATTGATTGTAAAGCTTCCTGTGAATCGGTACTTTTGCATCCAGCTGCTCTGATCTACATTTGAGACATGTCATCTACTTTACAGTATTCGTTTGTATGGCGGCAAAGCTCCTATTCCTATTGTCGCAGAACAAAACATCCTATACGTTATTGTACGTTAAAGCCGTTATTATCAGTGTACAGGGAGTGATAGCTCAGTTTTTGATGGTAAGATGAGGTACATCGAGATACTTCAAGTTCACCGTGATGAATTGGTAGTTTAGTTTATGAAATCGCGAGACACAAGAACTGCAAACTCGTCCTACGAAACAATAGTACTTACCGTGCCACTCATGAGCGTGGCACAAATGCAAGCCACGACTTCACTTGAACGCCTTTTTTCGGTTATTGATAAGTATCATCGCGCGAAAAGAGTAGCCATGACACGATCTCCGCTCAGGCCACGCTCTCGGCATCTGTGAGCGCAATTCATTAGCGCGGTATTATACTATAAAGTGCTGCAACCGTATTCCATACCCTTCCAGTATCGCCAAGCTGCACCTTTCTGTGTCGGGATATGTTGTGCTCCTGGCTGTGCCTCGCGCTGCATAATTTGATGTCAGCTTTGCACACGAATATCAAGGACACTTTACTTTCAAAGCGGCGACCTTACCCAATCGTGAGCTCCTGTTATTGTAGCCGTGAAGCTTTCAAGTCTTACCGTTAGAGCTGAGCAAACTTTGCTTCTGGATCTACGCGATCTCACATTCTGCCGGGCGATCTAAATGCCACCTGGTAATGCTTGCCTTTTCTCTTTCTCAGTAGTCGGCGAGTTGGAATGCAGTGCTCGTACAAAGGGTGCACAGCGGTCGTTCGGTCGTCACGACTTTCCTTTTGATTGTACCTCGCAGACCGACGTTGGTCGTTTCGTCGTCCGCCCGGTGACGGGGCGCACGTTTTACCCTTACATCGTTGCTGTCTATTTTCATGTGACCTTGACACTGGATACATCGTGTTTTAACGTTTTGATCTTCCAAGTGTCATACGGCGTCAGTTTGTGCCAAGTAAATGCTGCTGTTTCAAGAACTGCAGCCTTCACCTGGCTAATCAGCATGGGCATAAGGTTCAAATACCTTTGCTGTGCATCTTTGATATATGCACCACAACGTAGATTATACCAAATGGCTGACATGGTAAGAGCAACGATGTTCTGCGCGCCGATTGCGGTTTGACTTGCGCCAATTCGTACGTCTCCCAAACTAATTGCGATGTCATCAATCCCGAACCCGTCATTACCTTGTGCGACAGCTTTCATAGCTCAATTTGCGTGCTCCATCCACTTTGTGACAGCCTCACCTTGTTACTTGCAGCTTCAAGCCCATACACATGTATTACAACCAACATGTCTGCAGTTAAGTGTTGCGTATAGTTGAGGATTCCGAAGGCGGAGTTAGTAGAGCCGCCCTTGCAGTATTGGTCACACGCACTGTCATGTTTGTTTTGGTCGGCAGAGCAACTCTCATAGGACTTGCGTGAGATGCCAGTGTTAAGATTTACATTCGACCAGACTGGTTGCAGCTGTCGTTCAACGGCGGACGCGTCTTGCAACCTGCACCATTAAAGTTTCGTTTGATGGCTGTTCGTGTTCCTTCACTTTCCAGAACGAACTTGTGTGTAGCTAAAAGTTGTACAATACCTGCCTCAATTTCTCGAAGACTTGGTCAAGAGGCACAAAGGAAATGCCTCACAAGTCATCCAACAGTGGCTGTCGTAAAACAGAAGCAGAGCCAAATCCGAACATTGAACGCTTATGCCAAGTGATCATTTCGCACGGTATAAAAGCAGCGTACCTCAGCGTGCACATAGTACACGCATGATCACTAAACCAAATCTAAAACTGATCGACATCGCAGCTGGGATAGGTGTATCTCTGATGAATGGTCACAGTAGGGCGACGTCGTTGAAGTATCCAGTGGTGCATCCTGATCAGATCGAATCACTTTACGAAAAAGCAGTTTAATTTGACCCTTGTGAGAAATGTGTTATAGCTAAGCCTCTTTCCAACTAAAATGATAGCCGGGACCAGTGTAAAAAGTTTGAGTCACGATTCAATAAGTCACAATATTGCCAGCCATTCTGTTCACTGCGGAGATGTTTTACATCGTCGGACGGGCTACGCGGGGGAATGGACCCGTTTACACGGCACCATTCGGGATCGACAAAGATTGTAAGCATATAGTTACATCGTGCATTTGTACGCATTAAAAGGGCGTGCAGATTAGAGTCAATCTCATATCAGTAGCCTGGAATACTCAACGTATGAAACACTCCTTGTTGGAACGTAACTGGAATTGCGCTACAAAGTATTAAAGGTCACAAAGGTACAATTAAGGACATTAAGATTATAGGTGTTGGCAGCTGCATTTTTTTGAAGCTACAGTATCCTAACGGCTTAATCTGCAACGGGGCACCCTTTGTGTGAGGTGCCATGAAACTTCACGTACACTAGTACGTGCAGAGGAAGCTAATCTACTTAAACGACTCGTATAAGTAAGGGTAAAAAGAGAACTGCATTTAATATAGTTTAGCTATCAATATAAATTAAATCTTTATCTAGCTATGTTAACCTACATTGTCGCATGACGACAACCTGCTCACCACTCAAAGTGCGCGTCTAGCAGCGAGTTTTGGTAATCTAGGTTGATAGGACTTTTAAAACCAATCTACGAGCAGCACATGTATCTTCCTTTGGGATAATATGCCTTCAATATTATCCATCTCGGGTCATATTGTTAGGGAATTGTCACGCTATACAATCTCCCTATTGACACCGTTTGGTGTCAATATCATGCAACGGGCTACCTCGTTACATAACCTCACTACAACTACCTGACCGACAATAACTGATGCATCCAATATTAAACGGGTTGATCTGTCTGCGTTTTAGCTCCGCTTGGACCTAAATAATACCTACATTCCAACATTTAATAAGTTGCATACTCGAATTCCTGATCGATACATCGCTGTATAAAGAATGTAGCCTATTCACGAAATCCCACTCCTTAAAAATAAGGTACTGCAGTACAAGGCGAAATAAAATTGGAACCACGTGCCTGCAACTTTGGAAATTGCTCGAAAAAAAATGGAACGGCGTATTTGGTCCACTGAAATCGAGTAAGAGAGCTTAGAGTTGGACTAGTTAGCTCGGCTCAAATTTTTTCTAGAAATGGATTATTGAACAAGATCTCTCTAAGCTTGCGGACATGAACACAATTGTGGTGATCAGGGCTTACAAGCCTTAATTTCTTCTAAATTGGACCGTTTCTTTTTTAAAGGGCCAAACTTTTACTTACAGCCTGTACACGCGCTGTCCATCTGTAAGAATCGAGACGTACCGCCTCGCTCGGACACGACCATGCATGTGTACTTACGGCAGTGCAACGTCTCTGACTGCTATGCTGCAGAATTTGTAGGTTCCTATCTTCCACCTTCAGTTTGTCCACCTTTCGCTTGAAATTGCAGCTGAAAGCGAGAGGTTTTGCCAGGACTATGTGCTGCCGCAAACACTTCGATACAGATTAACAATCTGCCACTAAAATGATCCAGATCGTTGAACTTAACAACGTGGCTGTTATAAATATCGTTTCATCACATTTTGCAACAATGTATATGTGTTTACAAAAAAAGGCCTTGAGGACTTACGACCTGCAGAAAACATTACTTGAGTCCTCCTGAAAAATGCAAAGCAGTCAAAAATGACTGTGGAGACGAGGTCGTTATCGCCACATACTCATCGGAGACATCTCGATGCTTTGCTTTTTTAAACGATAACAAAGATGGTGGCGCTTGATGTGAATTGCCAGATGTGTTCATCGAATAATATCAGCGTAGTCGTCGAGTAATTATTTACCTGCACTCAAGCTGGCAGATGTATGACACGTACCAAAAAATTGTTGATGGAAATGAATCAATTAAGTTAGTTCACTGATTCAAGACACGGTGAAAACTCGCTCTAGCACTTTAAGCTGTATCCGCGATGCCATAATCAAACATACAATAAAGGGACAGCATGCTCTTGTTTCGTGTCTACAACAAAAATTTAGGTGGCTGTTTTTTGTGAGACAGAAGGGTGAAGCTATTAAACAATGTGCAGAATGTACCTGAACACTCAGAACACGCACGCTTTAAAGCAGAAAAGGTATCACATAGCTGGCACCATAACATCAGCATCAATACGAGCTTCAGCAGCAGTTGTTCTAAATTATAGATAGGCTAC